AAAAAAAAAAAAAAAAAGCGATCGATCTAGAACAAAAAAACAAGAAAGCATAAGAGCAGAGTCGTAATACTTCATGCGCTCCCCGAAAGTAGGAGAACTTCTAACAATTGGGTAACAACTGGGGTAGCAAAGGGAAGGAATTGGATTAAAAAAGGTTGCAGAGGGAAGATAAGCAAACAGCAACAACACCAAATGACAGAAGAACGGTCCTCATGCGGGATGGATATCACGTATAACGAAACAGAAATTAAACAGAACAAAGCGATGTATATGGTGCGTCAAAATCATATGCAGGAGGCATAGCAGATTCTCCCTCATATAATGGAGGAGCGCTGTTGCCGTGGAAGGTACCCTCCGGGATGGCATTTCGGCCAGCCACTTCGTGGAGTGGGAGGGTATAGCAGGTTGTGAATGCTTTTGCAAATTGCTTTCGGTTTATAAGGTCTCCTGTCTTTTCATCAAGAGTGTCTTCCCCGGTGATGAGATCGAGTCTCAAACGATGGTCGACCATGATTGTGGTCCTCTCCCCTCTTGACTCAGTGCATTCCTCGTTAAATTTGCAGGGGGTCAGGTGCCGACATGGTGATCCAGAGTCGAAGGAACAGGACGAAAGATCCGGCCGATCTGCGGTGGATGCACTTCTGGGGATGATTATGTCGAAGGGAACGTCAATTCGGTCATGGTCATCATAGCCTTTCCGTTGCTGGGCAGATAATTTCTTATTCGGAGCCCAGCGACCCTGCTGCTTTCCCGAGCAAACCTGGCGCACGGATTTCTCTTTCCAAGTGATGCTCTCTCCGTCAGGACCATCGCTGTTGGAGATTTTCATCAATCTCACCGTCTCGTCGACACTCCATCGTACTTCTCGAATGAAGAATTGCTTCCTTTCTGTAGGACGATCACCCCGCGCCGTAGTGCCCCGGGCCACAAGCTTCGCGGAATATGCAAGCTTTGCTTTGGGATCTGTTGGTTGCTCTGGGGTAAGAGACAACTCTGACTGCAACCGTTCGCCAGTGTACTTTTTGAAATGGCGAACGGTCTGACTCGGGCCAGTCACGATCCGGGACTGAATTTGCACGTCCCTTGTCGCGTCCACTGTCACCCCAGACGACGAAGTGACTGCAGCGCGGACCGCATAAGACAACCCTCCGAATGGAGTTTCCGTCGTGCCTGACGTGCCGGGCGGAACTGGTATTGAGAAAAGAAACTTGAGCACGACCGCGCCCGACTCCTCATACCACTCTACTGGCTCTGGGGAGTGCCATAGCTGACACTGTACCAGTGTCTCTACCGTACTGCTCCCCTCCTTTGGTTGAGTGGCGGTAGTCTGAGCTTGGGGCACGCGTTTCCTGCGAAGCCGCTGAAGGAAATCCCCCTTTTTGTTGTCGTTGGGGGCAGTGGATGCCAGCTCCCCGTCTCGCAACGTCACAGTTCGGAGCAAACCGACCGTAACATTGGGATACTCCGCCTGATCAAAATCCAACGAGGATACTGGAACCAGGACGGAGCCCGAAATGGGTGGGCTGTATCTCTCGCCGTGAGACCCTTCATAAACGTGATGGGTGGTTGGAACGTCCAGATGCAGTGGTCCCATGTGTGAGATAGTATAGCAGGTGCCTTCTGGGTGTACAGATGATGACGGGGATGATGTAACGGGCATCGGGGCACTCCGTTTTTATAACCCTTTACCCTCCTTGTCAGGGAAGAAGGTGATGACTAGGAGGCATCATAAAAATGTAATCAGGGGTACCTCCCCGGATCCACGTGGTAGCAATGACTCTTGATAACGACAATTCTTCTCAAGTCATAGAAATCGGAATGTGTGCCAGCTGTGCCGTTCGTTTCTCGTTAGGGCACGAGCTCCCGTTCGATGATGAGTCTCGACCCAGACTTTCCATCTGGCGATCTTCCCGAAACGGAAGCCAAGAGGGAAGTCGGTTCGTAAGCTTTCAAGGTTTTCTGGGGATCCACCACACACGCCCCTAATTTTGGAAAATGACAACCGTCCAGAATGATCGAGGATGCACCGTGTGGAAAGTACTAGAGAAGAACCATTCCGTCCGTGTGACTAAGTGGCAACAGGTCTGCCAGGTTCGAATGCAGAATTTTCTCCACAACGGAAATTCTCCGGCGGTGTCAGCGTGAAGAGATTTTTTCTTCACCATGTCTACACTGCATGTGGTGGTTGGCGATCGATCATGTTGAATAAGTTGAATATAGCCCGAGATGTCGGACCTGAAGCTTAAAGTTGGGTTCTGGCCCCTTGCTTGATCGACCTTCGAATGAGGATGCTTATCTTGATTCTCCGTGCATTACTCGGGACGGCAACCCGGCTGACCCACAGTTGTTTATCCACTGACGAGACCCTCGGTTGGCACGCTTTAGTCTCAAGTGTTTGGGTAAGAAAAGCGACAAAGTTCATCTTCAGGTCCAAAAGCTGGCCCATGCTTTTTCCAACTTAGTCATTAACTCATGTCGACAGCGTTCCAGCCTCCCTCCTTTCTCTCTATTGTCCCATATACTCTCCGTACATGTTCCACGCGGGCCTCCTTAGCCCAGGAACCTGCGTATCGGTTAGCTATCTTAAATAGGTCTAGTATCACCGAGGAAGTCAGAATCCCTAGTGCCCAATTAAAAGGTGGTGTCAAAGCAACGAGTACACCTTTGGAACATTTCTAGAAAACACGTCCAAAGGCTATGGTAGCTCAAGCCCAAAGAGCCAGGCCCACCAAGTACGTGCGGAATATATATTTAGTGGTCAGAATGATGGCTTTTGGGCGGTGACTCGAAAGACGAAAGGAAATCCTCCACACCAGGCATTGTCATGGCTCATTGCACCATCGGCTCATCGCACCTAAAGGACGGTCACGATAGCTTTGGAAATCACTCACTCCGGTAAACACGGCGTCGACTAAGCCGGCATCAGGTGACCGGTGGAGAGTAATAGTGCGACGTGGACTCACAATGTCTCTATCACTTAGTATGTCCATGGATCTGGATCGTTCGATTTAAACGCCTCTATAAAGCACGCCATATGAGTTGTCTCGTGATATGCTGCGGTAGTGGAGCTGGTGTGTGTTGGTTTCTTCATGAATAAGTCCAAGCGACAGATGATGATCGGATTTCCTCCGTTGATTGCCTTTTCGGTACTAGTGTGGCTCCCCATGCTGCTTTATTCTCACAAGTATGGGGTAAGCCACCTGAGTAAAGCAGCAACGGTTCCTCATGTCAGGTATGTTACATGTATATAAACAGCTAGTCTCCTTTCGTTAATACTGAACAGAAGTTATCGAAAGCATCATCCTCGCTTAGTCCATAATATATTCCTCTCCCCCCCAACCACTGTCAACTCGGATTCATTCCCGGCAATATTTCGGCGATGGACAATTGGATCTCATCAACACCGGCGAAGTATTGCAAGTAAATTGTGCCTTTTATTATAAGACACACGAACCACCTGGACGCAAGTGAAAATTAGAAGTCTCGCAACTCACTCTAATGGAAAGACAAATTGTTCTAGACACAATCGCGTTTTTTCAAGGCATTTATTTATAAATTTATAACCTAACAGACATTTCCAGCTATTAAGGTTTCGTACCGTGTGATAATGCCCCAGTGTTGTTGTTGAGGAAAATGCGATCTGCACCAGAGTTGCGTGTCCGAGTTACCATCTTACAACTTAGCCGTCGTCTTCTCATCCCGAACGACCAGCCTCTTCTCCCCACTCTCCCTCTTCCTCTCCCGATCTCTTAGTACTCGCCGTAGGATCTTCCCACTCGCACTCTTCGGAATCTCATCCATAAATTCCACCTCGACAATCCATTTATGGCGCACCTTCTTGGCCTTCACATACTCAATCAACTCCTTCCCAACACGTCGCACACCATCTTCCGTCGCCAATCTAGCCTTTGCCCCAGCCTTGACCACCACATACGCCTTCGGCTTCTCCCCCGAATAATCATCGGGCACCGATGTGACCGCCGCATCATCCACTTCAGGGTGCCCAAGCAACAAGTCCTCCAATTCAGCAGACGAAACCCCAATTCCCTTTACTTTAATCATTTCCTTGATCCGATCTGTAATCACAAGGAACCCCTCCTGATCCATATACCCCACATCCCCAGTATGCAACCACCCATCGGAATCAAACGTTTCCCGCGTCGCTTTGTCATTCCCCAAATACCCCATGACCACCTGAGGCCCCCGGGCTAGAATTTCGCCCTCTTCACCATACCCCACTTCCTTCCCATTCTGAGTGTCAAGAATCTTTACCTCGGTATTAGCAACTAGGATCCCGGCCCGTTGCGCATACTCGTAAGTCTGCTTTTCAGGTGGATGGGCGGTAATACAGCTGCAAGACTCCGTCATCCCGTATCCCTGCTTAAACCCTGTCCATGGGAACCGGACCTGCAGTTTCTGGAGAATCTCGCCGGAGATAGGAGCTGCACCGGAGGAAAAGGTCTTCACATGCGAGAGGTCATATTTGGACACAACTGGGTCGGTGAGGAGTCGGATGATGATGGGAGGTACGGAGAGGATCTCGGTAATTTGATATTCGACTATGGTCGCCAGCATGGATTCCATGGTGAAGGAGGGGAGCATATAGACGGTGCTATTCCGGATTACAGGTAGGTGCATTTGGTGAACGAGCCCGGTGACTTCTCTGTGTCAGCATTTGATCTCGGGTAGGAAGCGGAAGTGGGACCTACTATGAAATAAAGGCAATACAGCCAACGACTTCGTTACATCCTTCCGCAAAAGTTGATCAACTTGCATGCATTGCGCGATGACGTTGTGATGGGCGATCATCACCTGCCCAGTCTTTATATTAGCCAACTCTCACCTGATTCATCTATGGATCACACATACGGCTTTCGGCAGTCCCGTGGTGCCTGAGCTAAAACTCAAAAACCCACACACATCCCGATTTGTTTTCCCCCTAGGAAGCTCAAAAGGGGTCGTCTGTCCAGCCGGTCCATAATTTCTCCCCTTCTGGACGAGATCCTGGACCGATCGATACTCGCCCTTTTGACCCTCAAGGAGAAAGATCCGCTCGGGAGGGATCCCGGCTTCCCGGGCAGCGGGGACCGCAACCTCCATGCCGGAAGGGACGGTCATGAGAAATTTTGCTTTCCCAGTTTTGAGGGCATAAGTCATCTCTTCGATGTTATAGGCTGGCGAGGCGCCCGATATTATACCCCCTTTTTACATGTCCTTATTGTCAGCAATGTATTCTTAACTAGGGAAGCTAGGGCTGACAAGGACAAAGACTAACCGGCACGAACAGCAGCTAACATCGCAACTGGATACCAAATCGTATTCGGACTGAAGAGGGCAACGGTATCCCCGGGTTGAAGGCCATAGTTGCGCACCAGAGCAGTGGAAACATATGTCGTGTATTCTTTGAGGGCGTCATACCGTATACTCTCCTTCGTGGCGGCGTTGACGAAAGCGCCCAGTTTATCGGGGCTGTTGGAGTTCAAGGGAGAGTAGTGGGAGTCGAACAACCATTTCCAGATTGTGATATCCGTGGGGACTTATCATTACTAGAATCTCAGCCAGAATTCGTACTTAATACTTAGAGGTTTGTAGTCATGGTGCGAGGGAGAGTGGAGACGACGTACTGTTGATACGCGGTCTATCCGACTGAAAGACCACCATTTTGTCCTGATTTGCTTTGTTTCAATTTCAATCCTGACTTAGGAACAATTTACTAGATCATGGATGGTAGACTTGCATGTCGACCCCCGGTGAATATATGATCGTTCATGCGGGGAAACAGTAGACCGAGGTCGACTTATACCCCGCATGTCGGTAATGACTTTTGTTTGTCCAATCGGTATATCTAGGTGCTTTGAATGTTTGAGGTCAAGGCACTGCACTAACTTTATCGAATACCGAGAGCACCGTCCGATGGAGGCCTTTAAGCAAGTGGGTTTTGTATTCACATCGAATTAGTAAAGACACAGTCCCGCCTACCAGGTCTAGGTAGAAGCATTAGGCTTCACACCTGGTTCTACAATTTTGATAGCAATATTTAATATCCGTCATGGAGTGCTCCTTTACCGTCGTATATCTATACTTCAAACCATGAGAACTGCATCATTGAAGTTGTGCATACTATGCGCCAGACTAAAGTTAGGCGCTGAATTTGGGTCTACTCTCTCCAAGTATCGCCAATGCTGCCTCAACACAGTAAGGTTCTTCGAAAATATTTCTGATCGAAATTTGTTGAATATTGTCTTCAATTTCGTGGTAATGGCGACTCGGTGCTCTTGCTGGATGGCACAACGCCCCACAATCACCATGGGCCAGCAAAGAAACCCGTCTGATGGCGATTCGGGTGGTAACATCGATAGGTGGCTGACAAAAGAGGATACCATCTCTTGGATGGAAGGGGCACAAATAGAGATGGACTTATCCAGAAGGCTTTGCAAGTATATCAGACAAGCAAGGCGATACAGCTCGAATGTCACACCGTCGTTGATCGTTTGCGCACCCATGTCGGGACGGGCATGGAATGACGCCCGCACATACCGCAACTCTTGCTCAGCGCTCACTATGTCGCGATATATCTTCCTATCGGAGAACGTAGTTGGTTCACCCCGTGATAGATGGAGCGCGACACGGAACACAGTAAAGAATACTTTCTGGGAGGTTCCCATAATTGATCCGCTTTCTAAGTGCTGGAGGAGACCGGGAAATTCAAATATCTGCCTGGCCTCACTCAGTGACAGATGAGCACCGTGAGTAAATGCTGTGATGGAAAAGAAGTAACAAAACATCTCGACGAGAAACTTGCGAAGAGATGAGTTGGGCGGCACCATCTGGAGCCGAGGTCTTAGTAGAGCAGCCGCAGCATTTAGATGTGGTAGTATCTGATCGTTATCAGAGTAATTTTGCGACTATACGGTATTAAACTCTGCCGTTTTCAAGTCTATCCAAAATATAGAGACTCACCTCGTGAAGACAAAATAAGGCAACTGCCAACAGGTTGTGGTCTGCAAGCTGTTATTATTTTGCTATTAAATCACGACCTGTTCAATCCGTACCAGAAGTGGGCTCGTTTGACGATTGCTCACCACTGAGAGCCCCACGCAGGCCAGAAACAGCTCGGTCGTAGTACTCAACAGCTGAGGCTTGTAATTCCACGCTCGAATCATACTTCAGTAGGTCTTTTGCTGCGATCATGAGCACACAGTGGAGAATCAGGGAACTTTCCATGACTTCCGGAAAAATATGAGAGAGAATCGCAGTTCGCCGGTTATCCATCCTGGAGGTCAGCCACATAGGGCCATGTTTTGCGAAATGGTCTAGAAGCCGACGGACCAGGCCTGGGCTGGGAACTGCGAAGACCGTCACCATAGCTGCTAACTCAGGCGGGATTGTCATGTCCGAGAGACCTTGGCGTCGGCGCGGACGTCGCCTGCGCACGACCACTTCCGTCGTTGGCCATTGGCAGGTGAGACGGTTTCGGTGGCACCCTGTACAGGTGGGATGACGTTCATCACACTTCTTCTTGCGCCGACGACAGGTAAGACATCCATCTTTAGAGCGGGTGGCAGGCCGTGGCCTGTTACCGGCATCTTCGACCATTTTCTGGGGGTTGTGGGGCCGTAAGCGCAACCCCTCAGGATATTTCAGGGTTATAGACCCATCAAAGCAGGGTTTTTGTTGTCAAGAAGCGAAGCAGGATGTCGTGAAAGATGGAGGGCATCGTCGAGGTGGAGAAAATGGAAACCAGCGCGGCACTTACGAGTCCCGATCGGGTTTAGCTCGGTGGATGAATCACATCTGGAAAGATACAAACTTCTCCACCTTCAACATCGGCCACACTTTACCACTATCTGACAAACCAATGGCTACCATGGCACGCTGGGACTATTGTCAGAACCGCTTCGTCGGTCTCGTATTATGGATAGCTGATAGAATGACTCAATATTTGATGGCTACGTAGCGGGGCGATATGCTGGGTGCTAAAAGCTAAAATATATATAATTGTAAATCCCACCCAACAGCTTCTAGTCAACATTGTTTCAATCTCCAGCCGCAATGATGTCCTCATCCCAGATGGAGCCTGACACTCAATATCTCGTGCCTGGGAATGAGCCAGCCCGTCAACCCTCTACTGCAGAAAGTCGAGAGGACGTGAATGAACTCCCGCTCCAGTCAAACAAATGGAACCGTCCGAGATCGAACATCATTCGTGTGTTGACCACGTTCTGGGTCTTCTTTGTCATGGGGGCCAACGATGCTGCGTACGGCGTAAGTGTCTCTGCAATGTATCCCGCTGTTCATCGCTAACGAGATGTACAGGCTATACTGCCATATGTTGTTCCCCGCACTCCTTAACCATTGACATTTCAGACTGACGGCAAATTGAACAGCTAGAGGAATATTATAGCATCTCATATATGATTGTGTCATTGGTATTCCTCTCGCCCTTGGTAGGCTACGTCCTAGCAGCATTAGTCAACAACAAACTGCATATGGCTTTGGGGCAGCGAGGCGTAGCTTTGATTGCACCAGCATGCCACCTCGTTGCCTACATCATCAGCTGTACGCATCCTCCATACCCCGTGCTAGTCGTGGCGTACATTTTTGCGGGCATTGCAAACGGACTTCATGAGGCTGCATGGAACACATACATCGGCAGTCTCGACAACCCCAATGAGCTTCTTGGCTTGCTTCATGGGGTTTACGGCCTTGGTGCGGTGATTAGTCCGTTAGTGGCTACAAACATGATTACGCAGGCGAAAGTTCCCTGGTACTATTTTTATTTTTTCATGGTAGGTTTATGCTGTTTTATTCCCAACGAAATGCTGACTGCTGGGGAGATCGGTATATCTGTCATTGAAGCTGTGGCATGCCCGGCTGTTTTCTGGCGATTTACAGGTGCCGCCTTTCGCGAATCCCACGAACAATCTGATGAGGACTCAGGCGATAAGGCCAAGAATGGGCTTCGGGATGCCCTTTTCACCCGCCCCGCTGCGCGTATATCTTGGCTCTGTTCCTTCGTCCTACTGTTTTACGTGGGAGTGGAAGTGACGGTCGGGGGCTGGATCGTCACAATAATGATGGAAGTGCGTCATGCAGCACCCTTTCCCAGCGGCATGACAGCGACTGGATTCTGGCTAGGGATCACCGCGGGACGAGTAGTATTGGGGTTTGTTACAGCGCGACTGGGTGAGAAATTAGCCACAACTGTATGCATTCTGTTTCCCCCTTTGTTAGTCTTGTTACTAATATCATGCAGATCTACACTACTTGTGCAATAGTGTGTTCCTTGATTGTATGGTTGGTTCCCAATTTCTATGTCTCTGCGGTGGTGGTGTCCATCCAGGGTTTCTTCCTCGGTCCACTCTTCCCCTGCGTGGTCGCTGTCATAACCAAACTTCTGCCCAAGCATCTTCATGTGGCGGCGGTTGGCTTCGTGGCTGCCTTTGGAGGTGCTGGCGCAGCAGTCCTTCCATTCGTGGCTGGAGGAATTGCACAGGGTACTGGAGTTAAGTCCCTCTTGCCGTTCGTTGTAGGTGTTTCAGGTGGGATATTATTGCTTTGGCTCGGATTGCCGCGCCAGAGGAAGGGTGGAGCCCAGCAATAGTACGTCAAAGCCCTACCAGCTCGGTTCAAATTACGCCGACAGCCCTCCGATACTCTATGAACTCAAATCGAACATAACCGAGATAAATAGAGCTCATAAGCGCTAGTCTTAGTTAGGCACATAATATACTATCTCCAAGCAGAATATGACGCAATAGTTCCTGGAGTAGCTCTGCGTACCTCAACTGCAATTATCCGAGCGTCACTCCTTAACCAATAATAGAATAGGCGCAACGCCTCTCCACAGGATTTATTCCGGGGAATAGCAGTTATTCAGTGAATCAGCAATCAACCCCGCGAGGATCAGTTCCCCATGCGGAGAGATGTGGGTCGCGACCACGCAACGACAAGAAATCACTATCCTTGAAGATCGCTCTCATTTGGGCAATTCTCCGGCCAGTGTCTTAGATGGCATGAGCTGGCTGAATATATAAATATTCGACTCAGTTCGTCAATGAATTACAGGGGGTAGTATCACATCAAAAATCAGTGCCGTCAAAATGCAACTCAAACAAGTTATCCTCCCTGCCCTTGCCCTATGTGGCTCGGCCTTAGGGTCTCCGACGCCCGCCAAAAGAGCCGATGAAAAGGTCGGGTATCTCTCTGTCTACTGGACAACGGACGACGAGAGTGTCTACTTTGCATTGAGCGACAATGATGACCCCCTTGGCTTTGCCGCCATCAACGGCGGTAAAGCTGTTGTTTCCCCAACCCTGGGCACCAAGGCTGTTCGCGACACCAGTGTTATTGCGGGACAGGGCGAGAATGCTGGGAAATATTGGATCATTGGGACGGACCTCAATATCGGCGAAGTGAGTTTCCCTACTGATTATTGCTTACCAGACGTGCTGACCAACAGACAACCTGGGATGATGCGGTCCGCACTGGCTCGCGCGCGATCTATGTCTGGGAGAGCTCAGACTTGGTCAACTGGAGTGAGAATACCCTGGTGACTGTTGAGGATGAAACTGCCGGAATGGTGTGGGCTCCAGATGCTATCTGGGATCCTGAACAAGGTTAGTAATCGCACTTACCCCGAAGATAATGGGTTAGGAAAGCTAACTGTCGCAGAACAATACTTCGTTCACTGGGCCTCGAAATTTGTAAGGAACCCTTGCTCTACCGCCCCTGTTCGCACGCTTTGCGCATAACCATAACTAACACACCCCAGTACTCCGCCGATGACACAGACCACACAGGCGACGCAACCACCGGTAACGTCCTGCGTTACGCCTACACTAGCGACTTCAAAACCTTCACCGAGCCACAGGACTATATCGTGGGGACTACAGATGTGATCGACCTGTGCATCCTCCAGCTTGATAGCAACACCCTTTTGCGGTCATATGTCAACAGCAGCAGCACCGATGGTTTGCCCGTGGAGATCAGTACCAATGGACTTCTCGGTGACTGGTCGGTTCTAGGTTCTGTTGTTGACAGCAACAGCTATGAAGCTCCCTATTTCTTTGCTGATAATGCCGGTGGTGGTAAGGGATATATGACTGCCGATCTTGTCGGTAGCTCTCCTGGTATTTCTGGCTGGACGACGGACGATCTGAGTAAGGGTGTCTTTACTAAGGATACCTCTCACGATTTGACCTTTATGAGACACGATTCTGTGCTTGGCGTTACTCAGAGTCAGTATGATGCGTTGAAGGCCATGTAAGCCATTGCCGTTTGAAACTGCAAAGTGCCCGTGAAGGGAAGGGGTATTCGATATTAGAGTTTATGTAACAGCTATTCACGTCAGGAGATATGTACATACATATATACATACCACACATTCCTAATTATTAGTCTTTTATTTCTCATGTAGATATTGTAATAGTGTATGTTTTAGGTGGCTAATATACTCTGGTCAAACTCGAAGCTTCCAAGAGCTCTCTGGACTGTAAGCTTTTTGAATGCTCATGACATGGCAAACCGTATAAACTCTAACCACCTCGAGAAGACCAACATTACAGAGACCCAAGTCTTCCACTGAGGTGGAGGCCTTGGTCTATAGAGTGAGTAGACTGAGTAGTTGCGCTACTAAGACAATATGTGCTAGTGATTAAATAAAAGAACGGCAACGGTTTGTTATTCAAACAACATTCCAATGCATACAATAGCACACGCACAGCGATCATAGATATGCCGAATCCTCTTGCCTATGGCGCCAGCTCTTTCCCACTACTTCCCACTCCAGGATCTGGATCTGACCCGGAAGACTTCGGTGCAGTTCCTTTGTAACCTATAATTAAATCAGCATCAAGAATACTAACAAATTCCAACAGCAACATACTGCTCTGATATAGCACCGTAGCTAAAACAACCCCAATAATCGCAGCCTGCAACACAACATCAGCACAACCACCACAAGATCAATACAGAAAGCAAGATTAACCTACCAAAGACATATCCATCCCCTCAGCAACCTCCAACTCCCATGCAGGTCGTTTCCCAGGTATATACACCGAGACCATATCTTTCAACTTAATCGTGGTAACAAGGGCACCCTTATGATAAACATGCGTCTTCGATTTAAACACATCCTGACCTCGCACTTCGAGAATCGTCTCTTCTCCATCCGCCGCAGCATTATTCAAATGGACGTCGAACTTATCCTTAAGGGCATGCCATTGAGGTACAATCGTAGCAATTGGAGGGGAGCTCGTATTCTCTCTGCCACCAGGCAGATGAACAAACCATGTCACACCGAGTCTTTTGTGAGCGATTTCAAAGAGTGGTAGGCCAGAGGCGTCTTGAAAATATCGTCGCTGACTGATTGATTTGAAGTCTCCATCGACTGTGAAGAGTTTCTCCGCGAGGGGAGACTCGTCGGTCGGGCATTTTGTGATTGTGAAGTCGCCTCCCGACCAGCTGTTGCTGTGTTGTTTGACTCGGATAGTTGTTGGGTGGGAGGTAATGTATTCCGTTCGCAGGGCGATAGGTTGTTTGAGGGGGGTAAGAGTCGATGTCATGGTGTTTGAGATAGTGAGGGAGGGAAGGGGGTGAAGGTTATGCTTTAAGCAGGGAAGGACAATGCGTGGCACTTCGTGCTACAGCTCGCGCTACCCAGCATCCATGCCGTGGAGGTGAGCTTGCTACCGCTGTCCCACTATCAAGTGGTTGTGCCAAGATAAATTCCAAGGCGATGTGAGGCTCCAGATGACGCCCGAGTGTGGCGGAGAGAAGAGCTGTTGGGGTCGAAATACACTTGATTGGCCGAGACGATATCCACAATTTTTATGGTGTTTCAGTCGATTCTTATCTTATCGAACCTCGTATTCCAGTGTTGGCGGGCAAAAGGCTCATCTGTTGAAGAGCCTGGTTTTGCAAAGACAGTGGGAAATAAGAGACTGATGTGAAAAGATACTCAGCAGAAAGCCAGTATGTGTTTTACCTCTTAAGCATAATATATATTCGATAACAATTCATTCGTAGGGGAACCCAAACTGAAGCGTCCGAATCGAAATGGCCCTCCAGGGCCTGCTGAGGCGTGCCCATCACCATCTCCCAGAGCTTGATGGAATTATTGGTACAATGGCGCCCAGTATTCCCTGTTATTACGACGTGGCGAGGGTATGTAACAACCGCAGCCTCACACGGTATGGCTCTGATGCAACCAGGTACACCTGAAATTAGCTATAGTGGATACATGCACATCACTTAATGCGAGGTGTCAGTGTATAGCTGATATTTTTTGTTGTATGGGGCCAGCTATTGGTGTTCCTGAAGAAGTTTCACCACTGCCTTGTGGCCGTTCCCTGCTGCCCAAGATAGGGATGTCTGGCCATATAGTGAATCCTTAGCCTCAATATCCACCTTTTCTGTGGCAAGCAGAGCTTTCACCACTGCCGCATTGCCATAGGATGCCGCCAAGCATAAGGGTGTCTGCCCATTGGAATCCTTAGAGTCAATATCTACCTTCCCTGTGGCAAGAAGAAGCTTCACCACTGCCTCGTGGCCGTTCTCTGCTGCCCAAGATAGGGGTGTATGTCCATAGAAATCCTTAATGTCAATATCTACCTTCCCTGTGGCAAGCAGAGCATTTACTACGCCTGCAAGTCCCAAAGTTGAAGCTACCAAAAGTGTTGTGGCGCCCGCAGGCAAAGGGCCTTCCATAGACCTATAGCTCTTAGACCACCGTAGATATATACCAGACATTGGGTTGCAAAGCCTTTGGGCGCGTATCAATAGCGGGCTCCCTTCCCGTACACAGGCTAGACGGAAATGTGCACTCCAGTAACATGAGGAATATTTATCAAACATTTCCTCATCAATGACTTTCTCATAAAGGTCATCTTGCCGAGATGTTAGATATGAAGTGCATATTTCTGCAAGAATCTGATTGGATTCCTCTGGCAGTATTGAATGCTTCCATCTCTTGTCTTTTTATATCTACTAAAGAGTTGTTGTCCCTTACCAAGAATTCCTTGACAGTTTGATGAAGAAGGTAAGCTTTCTCATCTATAACAACCACAAAGAGTCCACACAGGTCCCTCAGAGTCTTTCTAAAGCGGTCCTTCGGTTCCATGTCATCACGTATACTTGTAAGACTATCGTGATCGGCACTGACTGCTAAGGCGAAAGATAACTCTTGCAAGGAGAGAGGCCTCATTGCAACTGTAATGATATGAAGAAGAACTCTAGCTTTGCCTTTATCTGAGCTCCGAGCCAAGATCTTTTCGTAGGCATCGTCAACAGCTGTGGGCAAGTCCTTCATGACTCGACGGACATTCCCTTTTGTGAAACTCGGGATATTTTCAAGCACGTCCAAGGTGAGGCTAACCCACAGATAGGTTTGATTATCAACTGCGTTCAGCTTTTGCGCAAGCATATCGCGCTCATCCTTCTCCAATGACCGTTGGTCGCTGATGTCATCTACCCTTTTTTTAATAACAAGACCTATTTCGTGAGATATCTCTTTGACTTCTTCCTCGCTATCCCCACTTAAATGAATGGTAGGTAGTTGTTTTTCCAACTCCCAAAAGCCACGACGTATGTGATCATATGGTCTGCTTGTTATCAAGAACTTTAGCTTGCTGCTTTTGTGGGGCCCCAAGTAAAAGTCCTTCACAGCGGAGATGAGTTGCCTGCGGTCACCATCTTGACACTCGTCCAATGCGTCCAGGATACATATAACCTCTGCAGCCTTCGAATTGCCCGAGACAGACACTAAGATGTTCCATAATTCAGAAAATGATTGAACAAGCTTTTGACCATCAGTTTCCTGCTTATTCAGGACTGCATCTTGCAAAAGCTGAGGCTGCGCAATAAAAAGCTGACGTAATATGACTGAGAGTGCGCTTGTCGCACTCTTCTGATCCGGAAAGTCATCCTTGAAGAAGAAATAGCAGACTGTTCTGTCAACGGTATTGAGAATAACTTCATCAACAAGATATCTCGTTAAGACCGACTTGCCACAACCGGGATCAGCCGACACCCACAAAAGACCGGGAAATTCGTTATTTGTCCTCTGTTGCCAGTCCTTGAATATAGGATGGCTAGTGAACCATTTACATGTTCCAGGAACCCGTTTGCTATTCCTGTCTTTGCGATCCTTGTATGGGCAAGTGTAGAGCAGGTTGAAAAATTTTTTTACCCTTTCATCTCGAGCCGGTGTAGTTGTCCAGGTATCACGTTCGTGTGAAGTATTTAACTCTTCGAGCTTTTGAGTTAGTTCCGCATGCCCAATCAGCGAAGTAAATCGATCTAAAGATTTTTGAGAGGTCTCAAAGCCTTCCAACAGTTCGGCCCATCCGTCCCACTTGAAAATATCTCTCAGGAGCTGAGAGGCTGAATGTCGGTGTACGTAGCAGACCGCACGAGCCTGGAACTCTAGTATCTTTGAGTAGATGGAGACCAAAGTGCCTTGAAACTCTTCAAGGAGATCAACACCCTGTTTTGGCCGAGAATGCAAATAAAGGTTTTCCATGACGTGAAGGCGTAGTACCAATCCAGATGTTGATTCTAACCCTTGTAGGAGAAGCGCATGCTGTTCAGCCGCTTGGACAACCATCTAGTTGAAGTTAGGATTTTGATAAATTGACCGTATAGGAGAGAGGGCTAGATTAGGATTTACCGAAAAACAAGCTATTATGCCAGCACAGGCAAGCGAAGCTGGGGGGCTCAAGCTTGCAGCAGGAGTGATCAGATCTTTGAGCGCCACGACATTTTTGGATATGTTGGCGATTTGCTCCCCAACACTGACACTATGATTCCCTAGGTGAATGACCCACTTCCTCTCCTTCTCGTAGATCGCTCAGTCGTTTGTGGTGACTTGTGGCACCTGGTTGAAGTTTCAGACCGTAATCAGATTCCAGTATCTTAGCTGAGTCTGTCAGGATCTTGTCCAGCTCCCTATTCTGTCTCAATTTCTCTTCAGCTCTAACCCAGAGATCGTTTGGTTGAGTAGCAGGTGTGCGATGCGCGTCTTGCTTGGGTACCAGACTTTGCGACCCATTTGTACTCTCCTCGTTCAAGGAGTTACGTTTTTCAGACCATGCTCTCTGCTTAGATTGTAGTTTGTCGAACAAAGCAAACATTGTATGACTCTCTTTAGGCTTTTTTTTATTACTCCTATTTTTATTGTTATTATTTCTTTCTTCTTTGGAGATATTCAAGGGTTTCTTCCAGCATGAATGTTCAGGAGCATGCTACAGGTGGGCTTGTTGGTGCTCTTCCATCGAAGTGATGGTCTTCTTTTTCTTCTACCCCGCTTGAAAGATGTGTTGGCACAACCGGACATGATTCAGGTTTTCTACCATGTGATAGGCCGAGACAAGTCCAATACAACACAGTGTCCAATGCAATAAGCCCTATATGGAGTCCCAATATGATATAAAATATCTTAACTTGTAAAATGTAACCCCAACAGCAAGAGTTTCCTTTCAATTTTAGTCTGCAATACCAGTGTTAGTGTTATGGTGAATGTGAACTCTTGCATGGTGTATTATATTCCCGCAATTCTTTCCCTACTTTTTCCAAGTTTCTTCTGTCGGTTACTCTTTTGGTCCAAAACAGCTGGGAGATTTATATACTGTATACAATCGCCAAGGTTCTAGTTCCATATTTCAATAAGAAAACCAGTATTCTAGGTGTTTTATGAAAAGGAATATTCTCTACACAAATATTGCAAGCTATCAGACACCACATCCGAAGTGAGATTTGGGTCTAATATCATGGCTATCGGTACTAATCCATGAATCAGGTACTAGGGCCGCCGACGTATTACTTGCATATATTCTCGCACTATATTCTCGGAAATTATATATTAACAGAGCCCACTCATGGTACTAATGCAGCGGAAGGATATTCAAATTGTTTGTTTCGCGCTCTTCCTACAGCCCCCATGATGATTGCCAAATCCCATAGTCCGAGATCTCTTGAATTGCTGCCTCTGTGAAGAACAGTTTCAACGAGGCAGTACCGAAGAAACTATGTAGGCGCTCTTGAATGACACGTGACTCCGTACGCCTGCCGTTGGGTCGTTTGGCTGCCGCTTGGTAGCATTACAGGCACACTGTACTTAAAATATACGATCGGTGAAGTATTCTTCCCGCTATCTCCTCAGCCAGAAAAGGTGGATGATGCCGCAAATGCGAAAACTCAACTCGTCTGTTTGGAGAAGTGTCACCCTTTGCACTATGGCCAACACGCCAAGCTCCTTTTGCCCTCGCGTGAAAACACATCAATTCCCTTCGGCCATTCATTCCAATAGGCATTGCGATGACAATTTGACATAATTTATAGTTTCCTGTATCTCGAGATCTCAGCAAGAAGTACGTCATATTATGTCCCTCGTTGAATTGGATATTTGCCGGGTTTGAGAAGAAAATGCACCCAGTAGAGTTACAGTATATACCCTTCGAGCGCCTTGAGTCCGTAGCGAAAGTGGATTAGTTCATCGGCTATAACTACCAGTGCCGGCGGATCAATTGCCGTAAGACTACGACCTCGCTTGAAATAGAAGATTAACGTCCTAATTAGGCGATTCAGTGGGGTCCCGGAGTATCGCTAGCGGGACGTGCCGCCTTGTATTAGCCGCCGCTAAGGATTTGCTCCCCACTGTTGAATCATATGCTCTGTACGGAGTAGTAATTTAGGAATTCAAAAGATATCATATATGGATTAATTTGGCGAGGTCCTCCGTAACAGTACTAACAATATAATAGCTCTAACCAGCGGTCAGAGTTGGACATGAAACACCGGGCTTCAGCGCTTAGAACATTTGAACGGTCTGGCCCCATGATGTAGCGAAAGACTCCCAAGTATCGCCTTCGTTGGCTGCCATGGAGAAGCTGCAGAAACGCTAGCAGAGAGCAGCTGGGGACCAACCCCAAAGCGATGGTGGATTTGCAACCCATGGCACGGATGAATTCAGCGAAAGGGAAAGGTGGGTTGCTGATCGTGGTTCTTGGGCTTGTTTTTGCTGCTGTCCTGTGCTTTAAGTGCTGTTTCTATCCTAAGTTACACTGGCCTATTTCTGTCGCTTTGCAACCTCTCCTGCCCAAAGTGTTTAAAGGAGTGAAGATTGATTCTGAAGTAGCTGGCCCAACTGGTATATTAACTATTATAACTATAGATTCTAATTTCTGCTTTTTCCTAATCTATGCATGTCAAAATAATTTATTATTCTGTAAGCTATTTAGTTTATATAGATAAATGGATTTCAGTACGGCAGTTGAATACTTCTACTTCATTCCTATTACAAAAGCCTCCCTATTATCTTAAGTATTTTTTATAGATACGTAACTATACTAGCCGCGCGAAGCTACAGGCAGCAGATCCTTATTATTCTACCAAGCCTGTATATCCTTCGGAAAGGGTTCCTATGCTTGTACAAATGATTTAATTCAGCTGTCTAAGGATAAGTTAACTGCTATATGTGGGTAGCGAAGTGAGAGCAATCAAGGAAAACAGAAGGCTATGTGAGCATGGTTCAACATCTAATATGTTGCAAAGCCCACAGTAATTTTAGGGTGACCATTTTACCCCCCATCAAAATCAACATTAACAGGATTGCTGTTCATCATAGTTCATTGGAGCCACTCACGCGACCACCCATAGTTATGTTCACAGACAGGGTCATATTTATTGCGCAACCACTCAAGAAGGTTGGCAATCCAGAAGGTTGTAGTTACCAGCTGGCTGTACTATGGGGTTTGACCTCCCAGCGCACAGATCTGCCTATCGTTAGGGTCATTGCTGATTCTGAAGATCAAGTCTGACGCTACTGGGCTAAATGTCTCATCCCTTCACTTAACCTTTCGTACTAGGCAGTGCTGCTGTGGTTTTCCTTCCAGCAGACAATGCTCCTTCCTACAGCATTGAAACAACTACCAAGATGGAGTGGTGGAGACTGGGCAAAAGGCCGTTCAACACCATCCTTGTCTTTCCCAAACTCGGGTATTCTATGTGAGCTCTTGGCCTGCGAATCATCGCCAAATTCCCTAGTAAAGTACACCTCATCGTGGGTAGTTACATTCAGTCAGCTTCGTCTGCTTGAGAATGCAAGGGACTTCAACGTCTCCTTTTTCTCCTTGACACAATCCCTTGATTTGTGCAGTATCACTTTAGTGCCTGCTAAGTGCTCTGCTTTGTCTCATATGTACTATACCCTCCCCTGAGCTGTATATTTATATCTTTGCACATAAGCCTATCTTCTCTTCAACACAGTCTGAAGCATCTCCTCAGTATGCTCCCAAACCTTCCTCCCAACGCCACTAGCATGGTACTCATCAAGAAACCTGCGATCCCCAACTTCAGACCCGTCCCACTTCACCAAATAAGCCCCCCGCCGACTCACCGCGGCATGAACCCTACTATCTCCCCTAGCCATCAAACCGGAAGGAAATACATCACTTGTCGCAGCATACAGATGCCTCTCCCCACTCTCCTGCTCAGCAACCATCCACGGTCGGCCTAGAAACATCACAGCCCTAACAAGGCGGCCTACAATTGGGCCTGCTTCGCGAGAGATGCCCGACTTCACAATCCCGGGATAAGTATGTATGAAAGTTGTAGACGGATATCGGGATGCGAATTCTTCGACCATCAACGAAGACATTGTCGTGGCGTGCACATCACAGCTATCAAGGCTGTATTTGTGTTTTAGGTCAAGATCGTTCATGTCAATTTTTGTTTCATGGCCTGCTCCTAGGACGGTTATAACACGGGACAGAGCACTGGTAGAGCCTTTGTTACTATTAGCCTGAGTTAATTGTGGTATTAGGTTGTTGATGAAGCGCATTCGGGCGTAGTAGTGGAGGCTGAATTTCTTATCCAAGCCTTCGGAGGTCTCTAAAACAGCGTTAGGCACGTGGTTCATCAAAAGAATAAAAAAGGAAACAATATTTCTATACTCTGTATGTCAGGATTGAAACGAACTTACCATCTCTCCCCTTCAAAGTAAAAATACCACAGCTCAAAAATAAAAGGTTAATCCGGTTTTCCTTCTGTTGAATCACCTCACAAGCAGAGTCCACACCACTTAAAAGCGACGCGTCCGTCTGGATGAACTGAAATTTGCCGCTTGGATTGACGAGGCTCAATTCCTGGATAACCTGCCGTGCTTGCGTCTCATTGCGTCCAACAAGATAGACGGTCGGGGAAATAGTGTAGCGAACAAATTCGCGCGCTGTGTATAGACCAATTCCACTTGTTCCGCCCACTTTGGAGTATTTAATAATAAAAGATCGATCAGGAATGTCATGGTTGGCATTAATAGCAAAACAGGTTCTTTCTAAACATACCAAATACAGCAACAAGCCCCGAGCCCAGGCTCTTTAACAATGCATTATGGGCACGCACGGTTGAGAGAGATACCATGTCATCTACTTAATCTCTTGTTGATGCTTTCAACTCCGAGGTCTCTGATGTAGCTTAAGTGCAATTCAGCGGTCCTCGCGTCAAAACCAATTCTTGAAATCCTGAAATGAGCGTGCTTTGTGATTTATGATTTATGCTCTAAAACATGGAATATACAGTTGCAAGTTAGTATTTTTCGAGTACAGCAGCTTTTGAGTAGAGTGATTATCGCTTTGGTTCATAGCGTCATCTAGGGTACATCTAAGGCAGATTTAGGGTAAGGCCTGGGTGATTGAGATAGTGGTTGCCAATGTCCCGGAATCCTGACCCACATCAACTCGGAAGCACTATAAATCCCCATAAGCTTGGCTCTCGGATGGTTCCATCGCGCCGTTCACCGGAGGGGAAAGAGCTTCTAATTAAAATTGCATTAGCAGGAAAGCCTGTTTTTACCATTCCTGTTGGTGAGGGCCAAGGGAAGTGGGTACCGGATAGTTTATTGCTCCGAATACGAGGAGAGTTTAAAGTCCCAACGGGGGAGTGGGTCCAGCCTTAAATTATCTGTTCTTTATCTTCACAGCCATAAAGTATGTTGCTACGACTACCAAGCTGGGATTGGCTTTCTCGGCACCGGATAAAAGTGGGGTGCAACCCTTACGCCACGTCAGCTTAATAGCTGCCTTCAGTTAAACGGCTATTAGATCATAGCATGGTTACTCCAATACATCGCCCATAACACCGAAGAAATTCGTAACAAACTCAGTCAAAATGAAGGCATGGCTATACAGCTCTACTAAGGGAGGCCTCGAGAAGAATCTCGTTTACTCCCCTGATGCCCGAACCCCAGGATCCCCACTGGGCAACCAGCTGCTCATCCAGGTGATCTCTACATCCATCAACCCGGCCGACTACAAGGTCCCCGCTACGAGCACTGTTTTCGGAAAAGTCATGATTGCAGCCACACCGGCCAGTCCCGGCATGGACTTCTGTGGGCGGGTCATCGCGGTGGGGCCAGATCCTTCCGCTCAGCAGTTCACTCCAGGCCAACTGGTCTTTGGCTGCCTTGGCATGCCACGGCAGTTTGGAACACTTGGAGAATATATACTCGCGACTCCAAACCAGACTGCTCCATTGCCGTTAGGGGTGGATCCAGACCCGGCTGCTACGATTGGGGTCGCGGGGCGGTCGTCGTACCAATCCATCGTGCCGTATATATCCGGCCCAGGCAGCAGGGTGTTTATCAACGGTGGATCTGGGGGGTGTGGAGTTTATGGGATCCAAATTGCTAAGTTATTAGGATGTCATGTTACAGTGACTTGCTCCACACGCAACATACAGTTCTGTCGCGACCTGGGTGCGGACGAGGTGATCGACTATACGGCTCAGGACGTGTTGGAGGTACTCAAGTCACAGGGACAAGTGTTCGACCATGTTGTGGATCACATCGGGTCGCCTGAAGGTCTTTATCAAGAATGTCACGCCTTTTTGAAGCCTGGGAAAGCGTTTGTCCAGGTTGGGGCCTCATCAATGGTCACGTTCGCGCACCGACTTATCCGCCCCTCGTTTCTCGGCGGTGGCTGTCGGAAATATGTGGTGTTGCTCATGAAGAACCATAATGATGAGTTCGTTCAGATTGCGAACTGGATTCGAGAGGGAAAGATCAGGGTTGAGTTTGATGCAGTGTATGAATTTGAGGACACCGTCAAAGCATTTGAGCGACTATGTTCGGGGAGGACAAGAGGCAAGATTGTCATCCATGTCACCAGCCCTGACAGTGAGGCTGCCTAAGCGCCGATGGATTCTGCTCCAATTATATTATGTTTTTAGGTTATATTCGACAATCATTATTCATTTCAAAACCAAGTACTTCATACTATTCAATACCATATAGGAATTTGTAATTAATGAAAGGATATCAACAAATTAATTTAATAACAGGCCAACAAGACCGTGCCAAGAAAGACTCTACATAACAGTGGTAGATTTTACACAGATATTCCATTCCCAATTTCTAAAATCCCAACCATTGCTCAAGTATGTACCTCCATTAAGGCGCATGAGTAGCATACCCGGTAGCCATACGTTTAATCTGTCCAGCGTAAAATTGCTGCATATAGTCAGAAAGGTGCCTGTCAAGCAATCTGTCAGGGTAAGCGTCCAACATGTGACATACCGTTTCCGCACCTCCACCCAATACTCGGATTTGAAGGATCCTCGCCCATAGAGGGGCTGGTACCTTTCCTAGAATGACTTTGGCTTCCTCATCTGTATACTTATCATCCAGGATCAGTTCGGGGAAGTTTGGGCAAACGACTGCTGGGCGCCCGATGCCGACGATATCGCACGCTCCACCTTTCAGAGCGGCTTGGATGCCTTGCCGACTACGGAAGCCTCCAGTGAGCATAAGGATGAGACCGGGGAAGCGCCTCCTTGTCTCCTTAGCGAAATCAAAGAAGAATGCCTCTCTTGCTGCTGTACGCTGCACTGTCTCGGATGCAGTCTCTTCTTGTAGCCCACGGCCCATCATCTATAATATCAGATAATCTTAGCCCATCACCTTCCACGAATATGCTGGCCAATATTGATGGCAGACATCATTAAAACGTGCGGCTAATAAGAGCGGCATGAAAATAGAACCAGTGTAATATGGTAATGTTAACATACCGTCGGGTCCTCATATGTCCCCCCCGATACCTCGAGAAAGTCTATTCCAGACTCCGCAAATAGACCGATCTGTTTCATGGTGTCCTCAAAGTCCGACGCGCTATGATCCGCAGAGTTGAGCTTGAGGCCTATGCAGAAGGTCTCAGGCACCGCAGCGCGGGTTTCCTCTATGATTTCAAGAACGATGCGAGCGCGCCTTTCAGGGCTACCACCGTACTTATCATGGCGTATATTACTCTTTGAAGTGTTTAGTTACGTTAGTTGGATACATGCGGAGAGTCTCTGGGCGCCTGGTTCGTGAAGAAAACTTACCTTTGGAGACAGAAACTGTGCTGTTATTTGAATCAAAGTCAGGAAATGTGACAAAAGCCAGATGACGCATGATCCCAAGAACCGAAGGACTCACATAAAAGATAACCATGAGCAGCGTGGAGCTCAACACCGGCAAAACCGCATTCCGCCAAGAACCGAGCAGAATTCACAAACTGCCGAACTACGTCTTTAATATCCGAGACAGTCATTTCCTTTGGAACACCAAAAGCAATGTTCCTGATGATGGATGCCGCACAGCCTTCTCCAATTTTGAGCGGAACTGGGCTGGGTGCCAGAGGGGTCCCAAAGATGCCTCTTTCGCCTGCCCCTCTCGGGGACTGGCGGCCAGGATGGCAAATCTGAGCGATAACTGGCGTGCCTTGCTCCTGGCAGGCGGCGGCGTATTGCTTCCACGCATCTAGCTGATCCTCTCTCAGTGCTGATTCACGAGTTGCAAGATCATAATAATTTCCCAGGTTACGTGGATCAACTTGGATGTTTCCTGTTCAAAATATCAGCTTTCAGTTGTCTATGATGGGGAGCTTTGAGTCCCGCTTCACCGGTCAACAAGCCACCCCATCTGCCTTTGCCCCATTCGCCATAAGCCCGTGTGAACTTCTGGTCAGGCACACGGCTTTTATCTGCCATAGCCTCGGCCATAGCAGCCTATAAAGTACGTGAGCTCATGGCTAGACACATTCATGGTTTGAGAAAAGAATTTCGCCTTTACCTTAACCAATCGATTCTGCAGTACCAGCCCACATGGCAATTTTATTGGTTCACTGATATCCGACACCATCTTTCAGAGCTGGTCCAGTCTAAGGTCACAGCCGAGCTGTTGTGTGTTTGTTTCTCTTCTAGCCAAATGAGAATGGAAGGTTCATCTCTCTTTGTTATTATTACATTTTAAATATCGGGGGAATAGATAGTTGTATTGTTTGCATGCTAGGGGTACGATAAACTATGCCGAGGTCTCTAGTCTGGCTTCAGATTTTCCCTTATGGTGTGTAGTCGGGCCCGGGGCAACTTTTCCTCCGCAGGGGGTTAATTTCAAGGCAGGGTTAGCAAAGCACTAAGGCTTCTGCTTCAGGGGCTATGAGTGACTCATATTTGATGGGTTGTTTGTATCACCAAGCAGAACCTGGCGAGCCGAAGGAGATGCCGGTTGCATGATGTAGGATGTACTTTAAGCTCGCGCCGAGAGATGCTAATGTTCCTTTATTTAGTTAGGCTTGCGAGGAGTGGAGTGAAGTGACGAGTACCCACAAGGGGATCCACTGGTGAGCTTTGGTGGAATTATATCCGCGACACTAAAGCATTTAGTCGCCGAGCTGGTCCCTAATGTTTAAGCCATTACTTTGCGTAAGTCAAAGGCCTCCCAGGCGAAGCCAAGGTATTATGTATAAGATCGATAATAACGTGGTGTACCATTGTCTAGATCTAGAATTTAGCAGATTGGTTCTGCATGGAGAACTCAGGTGCTCTCACGTTAGGGATAATGGTGGTCGCAAGGATACCAGGATATGATTTGGAACGAACAGATTGCGCATCTCAGCCATGAATTTGTAATTCAGCAGCTGAGATGTAGGCTTGTCTTTTGGTACTTTCTTTGACAGTCATGTGTAGTAGTAGTTCAGAAATCATATTGTTTGCTTCGTATCGTTATTGTGGTTATTGTTGTTGTCAAATCTCGGGTACAATGACCGGAAATTGACCCTTTCGTGCAATATTTGGCCAAATAATGAACGGAGGATGCAGATGGAAGTTAAAGAAGGAGAGGGAAGATAGGTGGGTAGGAAAGAACAAATAATGATGATGCTAGGAAATCTACTAAGGTTTCGATGACATTCGTCTGAAACTCCATGTATTCACACTCTGACAAGTGGTATATACCAAAGGGATATACGTTGGCCCGATGTTGGGACAATCAAGTGATATTCTATTCGAAACTTGTGTTTACTAATTTAGGTCATGTATCTTTTCAGCATGTATTGACTAGTAAATCTCTTGTTCTTCCGAGTAAAGGGGTGGTGGGTAGAGTGTAAAAGGTCTACACCAGATGGCAGTCAAGTTGAAATCGAGTTGATTCATATGCACGAGGCTCATGATATACCGGCCACACTGTGTTGCCTATCTTTCAGCGAGCGACAAGACCATGTTTAACTTATATTTTACTGATCGAGATGCTATTCTAATAACTAAAATAGAGATAATATACCCCTGCGGCTTAGCAAGTCTAGCTTAAGCTTCGTTTTCTCCACCTTTCTGGACAACCTAGGTTAGATGCTCGGTTCATTAGAGGAAGCGAAAGCAAGCAACGGAACACCTCTCGTTTCTAACCCCTACTCAGATTTAAGCTCTGCATTGGTGGAGCACGGTATGCCGTAGATCTAACGGGTTGCCGAGCCTCCGGTTTACATTAAACTGGGGGCGGGCTGGCATATGATTTTTAACGGGGCACAGGGTTTCCAGTAACAAGTCCTCTTACCTGAGAGATACACCATGCCATGAAGGGAGGTTGTCAAAATTCCAGCCACATATCTTGTTTCTGGAAGGCACCATCCACTCCCTCCAGTCATCGTCATGGGCCATGGAATCGGGTCAATTAAACCAGCGGGACTCTTTCCATTTGCAAAAGGATTTGTGAGCGCCGAGTATACCGCTAGGGTATTTGACTATCTCTTCTTTGCAGAAAGTGATGGTACACCAAGGAATCTACTATCGCCTTCTCCGAAGCTGCAGGTCTTCCGAGATATCGTCGCGTGGGTCAGAAAATAAACGAATAAATGGGATCCTGATCCTTTGATCACCTGAGGTGTTAGGTTTGGCGGAGTACACGCTACGATCCCAGTCGTTGGAGATCATGATATTGTTTCCAGCATTATGCAAGGGCTAACACCTCTTGGAAGAGGATTCAGGGTTCCTGGCTACCATTTCGATCTCTATGCGAGAGATGTTGCCTTTGAAAACAATATGAACGGCAATTACAGTTCGTCCAACCAATCTTGGCATAGTGTTAGAACTGTTAGCCCTGCTTGGGGGTCTCTATTTTGAATTATTTGATTATAGTTCGCTGTTCGTGAAATTGTTCGATCAGGACTGATTACTGCGAATGCAATAAAAATAACACCTCAAGGTTTTACCCTAATTGTATTCCACGCGGCCATACCTCGTCAAGGCCTTCATCCTACTTCTGTCAGAGTCGAGATTTGCCATTTTCAAACATCGATGCTGTCTGGACAAATTGGCTTTTGCGTTGAGCACCTGATTGGGGTATTTAGGCGAGCTTGAATCTAGCCCCACCGATGATCAGGGTCCAGAATAGCAGCAGTTGCGAGTCTATCTCGCCACGGGCAGTCGGGGGAACTCACGCACCCGATTAATGGCTGCGCCAAGATAGATCGGATCCACCCCTTTTTTCCTTCAATGCGGGGGTATATGCGCCGTCATTAATCATCTATCATGGTTATTTAGCACTATATAGTCAAGCTTCCTTGGTGGGATAAAAGTTATCATTTGTTATTTCGCCAGAACTTCCCACTCATCCTAACCTAACAGTGGGTATTACGACAACAACCGCGGTGAGCCCACAACCAATTTATTCACTATCTGGCCGACCGACCAACCCAAATTCAAAATGTCTGCCACAGTCCCAGATTCGATGCAAGCACTCGTGGGAAACCGACTCGCAGCCGCACGACTGGTCAACTATGCTTGGAGTAAGCCCTGTGGAGACGGGGCGAAGGTCCAAACAGTTCCCACTCCAACCATATCAGACACGGAAATCCTCGTTCGTGTCAAGGCGGTCGCGTTGAATCCCACAGACTTCAAACATGTCGATCTTCTCGCCCCAAAAGGGGCTATCATCGGCTGCGACTTTGCCGGAACGGTCGCCAAGGTGGGATCCAAAGCACCCGGCAACTGGCAGGTTGGTGATCGGGCAGCAGGCTGGGTGCACGGTGGCTTGTATTACGACCGTGGTTCGTTCGCCGAGTTTCTCAAGGTCCCAGCGGACCTGGCGTGGAAGGTTCCATCCAACGTGAGCGACGAAGCAGCAAGTACTTATGGGGTGTCTGCCGTCACCGCGGTGCTGGCTCTCAATGCTCGCCTGGACGTTCCTTGGGCTGATGGAGGCCCAGAAGGAGGACATCGTGACTCACCTGTGTTTATATACGCGGGTGCAACTAGTGCTGGTCTCTACGCCATTCAGGTAGCCAAACTAGCCGGCCTAAAGGTCGTAACCACAGCATCTCCACGGTCGCATGATTTGGTGAAGCAATATGGTGCAGACGACGTGTTTGATTACCGATCACCAACCGCAGCAGACGAAATCGCCCGGGCGTATCCACAGATGAGCCGAGCCTTGGACTGCTTTTCCGAAGGCGGTTCGACGGACTTTTGCATTAAGGTTGTGCAGAAGGCGAAGGGCAAGGTGGTTACTCTGTTAGACAGAGGCAAGACGACCGACGAGGGAGTGGAAGTCGATTTTTTCCTTGGGTATGGGGCCTTCAATCTTCCATACCAGTGGATGCCTCCTGTTGGACCTCGATTCTCAGCCAACCCGTCCGACAACGCAGCTTTACGTCGGTTTTATGCATCATTGCACGACATCTGCCATCAACTGCGACCACCTCCCCTCAAGAGCATAGAGGGCGGGCTACACCATCTCAATGAAGGTCTCGATCTTCTTCGCAAGGGAAAAGTTGCTGGTACTAAGTTAGTTGCCCGTCTTCAATAACGTTCTACCCATAGTGCACATAGTGTGAGGTAGAATCGTAAACTTCATGTATTTATATGATTTGATGTTCGTTAAGCGGTAATAAGATGTATATATTTGGAAGAAACATCAACACAATTATCCAAATAATTGCTAACTTATCCTTATCTATTAAATCACTGAAAGACGTCAAGGATTTATCTTGACCTATCCTCGACTGGTCACTATACCATGCAAGACACCTTATAGAAACCTTTCAACCAAATTCCCCTGGGCCTTGGCAAACATTACACCCCTCTAGTTAATAGGGTTCTCCATATTTGGGAGAGAGTTCTGGCCGCCCTTGAAGTGGATCTACATTCCAGTCGCCACCCTGGATCAGCGCAGAAAGGCGAAACGGATGGATTGTTGATCCGCAGTCCGCCTCCTGACCGGAATAACTTGCGATTAGAGCCCTACCAACTTTATCTTAGGAGGTTAAATTGTGGACCCTGTAGTTGTCATGGTTTAAGCGCTACGTCATGAAGCCCGTATTCGCCGGAAACATGGAAAGAGCTCATGGCAGCGGGCGAGATCCGGCACATAACAAAAGTCTGACGTAGAGCAACCACGAAGGTTACTACTTAACTAACTTCCTATTCACACAGTTTCCCAGGACCATTCCAATTTGCAATTTGTCTGACTTTGCATTTTACTCTTAACCAAATTATATCAAACACCATGCCGTATCTTAAACTTCGAGACGGAGCCGAGCTTTTCTACAAGGACTGGGGCAATCCAGATGGGAAGATCGTCACCTTTTCCCATGGCTGGCCACTCAGCAGCGACAATTGGGAGAACCAGATGTTCTTCCTGGCCGAGCATGGCTACCGCGTCATTGCGCACGACCGACGGGGTCATGGACGATCTACCCAGACCTGGAACGGCAACAACATGGATACATTTGTGGATGACCTGCGGGAGCTTTTCGACCATCTCAACATTAAAGATGCAATGATGGTCGGGCATTCTCATGGCGGAGGAGAAGTGACCCATTTTCTCGGCAAGCATGGTACCAGCCGCGTCAAGAAAGCTGTGATTGTCGGGGCTGTGCCACCGCTGATGGTCAAGTCCGCGGCAAACCCCGAGGGAACAGACAAATCGGTCTTCGACTCCTTTCGAGAAGCAATGCGTAAAGACCGAGCACAATTCTTTTTGGACGTTCCTAGTGGACCATTCTTCAATTTCAACCGGGACGGGGTCCAGAAAAGCGAGGGACAGATTCGGAGCTGGTGGCAGCAAGGCATGAATACAAGCTTTAAGACGGCGTACGATGCAATCAAGGACTTTTCAGAGACAGACTTCACGGAGGATCTTAAAAAGATTGACATCCCAGTCTTGGTTCTCCACGGCGACGATGACCAAGTAGTCCCCATTGAGGCGTCCGGATACAAATCCGTGAAGCTTTTACAACACGGAAAGCTGAAGGTCTACCCAGGAGGGTCTCACGCCATCCACAACATTAACGTTGACGAGGTTAACAAGGATCTCCTCGACTTCCTTCAATCCTAAAAGAAAGAATCGTACCTGGCGTTCTTGTGTTGCGAAATCTGGCAAGGCTTCACTCACTTGTACTGAATGGTGTGGACAGTTATTTAATAGACCTTGGACGCAATACCGCAAAATGACCTGCAAAGTTTCATTATTGTCTATGTCTCCTTAATTCTAGCAGTTCACTGTGGAAATATTTAATTCTAATAATGCTCACAAGCTAACAAATGTCATTTGAATATGTGTGGTGATTGTTGACTGCCGGTTCCTGGCTTGTATATTCAGTTTCTCGAGTTTAAATATGGGCACTCTCAACACTATAACCTTTCCGTAACGGCTATGCCTGCACGTCATCCAACCTTTCCAGTGCGTTATATGTTAGTCGTGTCAATAAGTCTCTAGTGATCAAGGAAAGCATGCTCCAGCTTCAGAGGAGAAAGCTTCTTAATAGTAAAGCAAATCGAAGCTAAATCGAGTCGCCTCTCAGATTCTCAAACAAGTCATCCCAAAACCCTGAAATATCTTCTGCGACCACATAATCACACTCATTTATCCGTTCTCTCAAATCGGCAAGAATATCCCTACGTGCCTGCAAGCCCCACGAAGACGACCTCCACGGAGCTGTTCTCAGGTCCTGCACCACAGCTACCACCATCCCAAATAGCATTGCAAAGCTATCCAACGACCAGGCAACTGTATTTTGCCAAGGACAATCATAGATATAGAATCCAGCTCCACCGTACCGGAGGTAATCTGGTTCATAAAGCCATACATCACCGTCCACTGCATCCACCATTACCAGGCAGTCATTGACGTTTCCAACATGGAAATATATATCACTGCACTGAGCTAGCGGACAAGAGGGTGTTGGATGCATTTCAAGTTCATTGTTGTCGGTAAAAATGTAGTGTTTCAAACTACTCTCGGGATCTTGTGTTAAGTGTAGAGACTCGAAAGGTATGCCTTGTAACTTGAACGCAGGGAATCCAACATTCAAAAGAAACTCTCGAGTACGAGCGTGGTCCAGTCTTTCAAGATCGGATTCTGTAGGCCGCCACAATATGTTTGCTCCAAAGCAAGCTTCCAGCCAGGCTCGGTTTGGAGCTGCAGCTCTAATTATATTATTCTACATCCATAACTTTGGTCAGCATTTTTTATATATAGTTCAGATTTGGGATTAAAGAAACATACTAGAATTGATTGGAATATCTTGCCGCGGTAATACAGATCGCAAAAGACAATGTAGGCGGATTTGCATGATTGTGCGAAGTAATAAGCTTCTGTTGTTGAATCCAGGTTCTGATAAACCAGTAAGATGATCTCCAGGGGAAGACCTAGAAGCCCCATTCTTTATCGCCGAGTACCCTATGTACCAGTTGATGTGTTGCAAAAAACGTATGTTAGGAGTTCAGTTGAGTCATGCCAAGACACAAGGGCTAACCAGTTCTAGAACTGGCTCTGTTACACTGCAACATGCGAAAACGAAAAGAACCTGTCAGGAGGGCTCATGTTGTCTAATATTGGACTTTCTCACCTGGTTTCATGGTGTTCAAAATAAGAGAGTCACCGCGTTGGTCGAAAAATATAGTATGTTTATAACGCTGGGGAGCAATTACGAACAAGGTCCATGTTAAAAAATATATTACCGGACGTGTTTTGTCCATGTCCTCTTATAGGGTTTAGACTTCCTTGGATTTGGCGTAGGACAACCTTAGATTAGATTTAGAGATTAATGAATGCGGTGATTATGCTATTAGAGCAACTATTGGCACTTGGAGGAGACTATTTATGAAACTAGTACTCTAGTTAGCAGCAAAGAGTAGTAAAAGTTTTGCTTCTTGAATATATCAGGGTAACAATCTGCCAAGAGTTGCGGGGATAGCTCAGTTGGGAGAGCGTTAGACTGAAGTTTACTTCGATCAGATAAACCCGTCTGGGTTATCTAAAGGTCGCTGGTTCGATCCCGGCTCACCGCATTTATTTTTGCATATTATTTATACATTCCCCTACCTACCCTTGATGGATAGCACACACCACCTGCATTTAGAAGCGGATCTGACTGGATTTCCAACTTCATCAAAGACCGCAAGGTAATTAAGAGGTGTCCGTCAAGCCCGGGTCGTCCAATATCCTCTTTTCATTTTTTTCTTTATATCATATCGTTTATCCTCTTCTGTAATTAGAGTCTACTTAATATGATCTCAATCGGTACTCCTCATAAATTGCTTCGTTACACCTTTAAGCCTGTTAGATATGTCGCTCTCGAAGTTTCATACTTGTCTTGTAGGTACAGTAGCAATTACTTGAGATAACCCACGCTACACACTTGACAATAAGCCCAGTAATGTAGCAAAATATAATTTGAACTATGCATTCTACAGACTAATATAGATGCTTCCAAACTTGAATAGTCAATATGACATACCCTCCAACAAAGCTGTAGCAGTCAGGAGATAGAATAAGACATTACTCTGGTAGAGGTGCTGAAGTAGGGCATAGCTCCCTCGTGACCCGTCACGGGACTGAGGCATTGCAGAATGATAACTAGCATTGCGAGTTGATGCCAATTTATCGGATATTAGGACCGGGTACATTGGTCCGCTTACCTGACTTGCTCTTGTCAGTGTTTCAGCCAAGACGGCCTGCTCGGGCCAGGCTCTATTAGCCTTAGGCAGGATTCGATGGGTTTCTAATGCTTGATAATAGTGCTCGGCCTTCGGTCATATACGAACAATTCAAGACAGAATCATTAGATTTCTAATACTACCTACTAACTTTGGATTTCAAATCAGTGACAATTATGTTAGTTATGCATGAATCCTTATGCGCGGATCAAGCGAATCTATTCAGTTCATCTTTTATAAATAGGTCATCACATGGTTTGTATGATAACCCTCTCATATTGGATAGATTCTGTAGTGAACAAACAGACAACTCTCCCAAAGATAAACAAAATCTAGCTCATCCTAGACTCATACTTCCCCTTTTCCACAGCAACCCCTCGAACCCAGAAATGACCAAGATCGCCCTCATCAAAGGCAGTACACGAACCCCATCAGTGGGCACCGACATAACGGACTGGGTCCACAACGTACTACAGGCCCAAACCACAGACACTCTCCAAATTGAACGACTCGACATCGCCGACTTCAACCTCCCGGTTTACGATGAACCCGTCGTACCTGCGATGGTCCCCGCCCTAAAACAATTCACCAAAGAGCACTCGAAGAAATGGAGTGCAGCCATCGCTTCCTTCCAGGGATACATCTTCGTCATACCGGAGTATAATCTTGGTCTTGCAGGCGGAACGAAGAATGCAATTGATTATTTGTACAGCGAATGGCCAGGGAAGCCCGTTGCGATCATCAGTTATGGTGCGCAGGGCGGGAGCAACGCCTCCGAGCAGCTTAGTGAGAGTTTGAGAGTGGTCATGAAGATGGAGGTAATGGCTACTAAAGTCTTATTGCCGTTATCTCCGGGGTCGGATATGCTTTCTGCGGTTAATGAGGGTGCTTTGGGGGAAGATTCACGAAAGGCCTGGGAAGCAGATGGGAAGAAGGAGCAGGTGCTTCAGGCGTGGAAGGAGTTGAAGGATGCTCTTGAGCAGCCCAAGTAGCAGAAATAGTTGGGAAGGTATTCTGGGTGAGTTTCATCATATCTGCCCATATATAAAGGCACTCTTGGAACTTTTTTCTAAGCTATTGCATAGGCCAGCATTTGGTTAACCTTGCTTTTGTCTTTTTCAAAGGTGAACTGATTCCTGAAGGCTCACCTCCATTCGTGGATTTGCGTTTTTATCTTTGTTCGATAGCAGTTGCGATAGACTACATAGAACTGTACATTAAACTATCTAACCCGTTTGTTTCTATTCCATTAAACCAATATACTCTAAGTAGTCAAGTCCTTTCAAGAATAAAAAGCCAGAACCAGACCTTAGTAGTATACACCTCCACTCCCCTGTCAACCTTGAAGCTAAGCCACATACCTCACCTCAGGATAGTCACTCGACGGTCTATCCAAGAGCTTACTCCTCTCCCCAGTAATAAAAAATGTAGCCGACGCAACGATATACTCCGTCAAAATAGCCCTCACCCGCAGCCCGGAAAGCGAACCTAACAACTCCGACGTACCCTGCTTCACCTCGACAGGCCACCCAGAGGCATCCCGAATCAATGGAAAATCCGTGAAAGTGAAGTGCACTGACTCAGATAACTGAAGCAGTCGCTTGAATCCCCGGAGACGTGGCCAGATCTTCTCCCAGCTATCATTACCTTGTCGCGTGATGTTCGCCTGTCCAAAATTGATAAAAGGCCGATCGAGACCCTCTTCGAGTACTGGGCCCCAGAGTGCTCCGTCGAAGTTCAGCCCGCCAGCAAACCGGGTCTCGTTCAGCATTGCGGCTGCGGCTGTCGCACCACCGAATGAGTGGCCTACTATTGCGACTTTATCAAGCTCGAGGGTCCCTGTCAATGAGGATGGTATGAGGTGTGGGTTGTCGTGCAGTTGGTCCAAGGTGAAGATGACGTCCTGGACGCGGGTGTTCAAGGCGACAGGGTCGGCTGCAGAGAGGTTGGTACCGTAGATAACGCTGCCGTCGGGGAAATCCACACTCGAGGCGTCATAGGGGTGGTCCACTGAGACTACCACCATGCCTGTGCTGGCTACCGACTCGAGGATTAAGGAGTAATACAATCGGGATCCTGTTAAGCCTGGGGAGAAAATGACGACGGGATATTTTCCGTCACTAGGCGTCGTGCCGGAATTAGAGTCAAACCCGGACTCGATCTGAAATCCTTTTATTGTTGTCCAATTAGGCATCCCGTAGGATCGAAACAGCTGGTCTGTTACTGCTTCTGTGTGTGGAGTAAGATAAGACTCGAATTTGGTGTGTCCGCAATTAATGGGCACGTATGAAGTTGCCATGATCTCTCGTTTGTCATGGGTAGGGCTGAAGGGATCGACACGCGAGCTATCAAGCAGTTTCACATGTGTTGCCTGTACTCTGCATGGTCCGGATGGTCCGGGCAGGTGGGTTCCTGCTTGGGCCGCTCGGGCTAGAGCTGTAAAGAGTACAATGACAGAGAGTAGCATGGTTGAAGATTGGCAATTGGGAAAGTACCGCGGGATTGCTGGTTAAACATTCTTGTTGATCTTATATGCGAGGAAAATAAATGCCTGAGGGGTTAGTAAGCATGTATTCTCGGGCACAAGAGGATTTGGGGGCGAAATGCTAATAATAGCCCTACGCTTTAGGAAGAAGATTTGCTGAGTGATGACATAAACTATTGTTTTGCTCAGCCACGATGGGAGGCCTTCCTATATATCATTATATCAACGGCGAAGAGCAAACAATTCTGTGGGAGGGAATGCGGCCACTATATTGAGTATGGTTTCTGCTGGCCTCCGGGGTTTTGTTGGGGGGCTTGTTTTATTTCCTGCCGTGACAAGTTGTGTAAGCTTCTCTACGAAGATTACCTATTATTTTATACGTCCTAATTCTTGATTAATTATTTATTTCAATCACCCTGTTCCCATTCAATGGCTCTATATCCTAGGGCAGATTTTGACCCTAATATGGTTGACCTATACAGCGAACATCCTCTCTATCTCAATACGAGCTTGAGCTAGTCTGAGCAGAGCGAAGGCTGGATAATCAGGAAGCGGATATTAATACTTAGGCAGGGCGATGGCATGCCATGTCAATAATATAGTCCATGATGAATTGCCCATTTAATTTCACCCCCTGGTCGGGGGTTTACGCAGCAAGCCTGTGCATAGGGAATGGGGATGTTACCTGTCACCTGTATCTCGTGTGATGGAGACCGCAGCGCGGCTGAAAGGATCCGACCTATGCAAGGATGATTCAGCGCTCACCCAATAGTTGTGCAGAATGTGAATCCCACTATCTCTTATGAACAAGCTGAGCAGCCGTTATTGTGCGATCCGAATAATCTCCCATCCAGAGTGTACTCCAGTCTAGAGCCACAGGCATCATAAGCTACCTCAGTAAAGGCTAGTTATACTTGATTTAGGACGATCAGGTATTGGTCACTTCGTATTACCGAAGGCCAGGTGAGTATACGAAGGAAAAAAACAAGGTATAAACCCTATTGGCTCCCTGCATCCCGACGTCGGTGAAGCAGCCAACCCCACAATGTAATATTATAGGCTCACCTGGCCTGCTTTGTTTTTCGCTCTAGACCTCGCCTCTGATACGCTCCTCGGCTCCCCTGAATATGGGATAGTTCGTTTTGTGCGTATACGTGGACAATTGAAAGCTCGTGTTTTCATTCGCTTACCGCTCAAAGATGCTTCGGAACGTAGCGGATATGCAGTCTAACATACAATCCCGGGGGTGCCTTACTTGGGCTAAAAAGTTCGTTTGCCAATTAGGCGTCGATCATTACCGAAGTCTCACTTCTATCATTGGCCAGACTCCAGCTAAGCACCGTCCCTTGATTGATACGAGGACAACGCCGAGACGGCAAATAGGTAATAGTGTAAAGCTTGTTTGCTTTTTTTATTTCTCCTAATATAGACAACCCGAGGTCCCCTGTTAGCCCTATGTAGGAAGGTCCAAATAATCTGAACAGGTAGAAAGCCGACAACGGATGCTTCTACGTCTAGTATTCGAACCTTTAAGAATTTCCCATTGTACGAAATACGACTCGGCCCTCTAGAGGTGTAAGGTTACGTAAATCTCCAGATGTCTCTCCTCTTTTAGGCAGCTTATGCTGCGGGACTTTTGGAGTCGGAGTCCAGCTGCGATGTAACCCAAATCATTAGGCGTCCAGGTCTCGGAAGTCTGGATATGGAAAAGGGACGATGATCACGACTGCGCTGGCAGACATTACGGACTCTCCTCAAGTATAAATATCTCGAGAAATCCATGAGAAGTTTCCATTCAACTTATCAAGCTTGCAACATCTTGTCCTCTATCCCCCATCGCTCTATCTTCTCAAGATCTTCTACTCGCGTCTTCATTACTTTCAAACTATCAGTAGTACCGCCTGCAACTATGGTCAACTTCGCAGCTCTCCCCCTCACAGCCATCGCTGTTCTGGCCTCCCTGGCCGCCGCGAACAACTGCAAGACAGGTCTCAATTACTGTGGCTACAATCTCCTTGGAATCGGTACGTAGCACAGCATGTGGAACATATCCTATGATCACACGTTACGAGAATCATGTACATTGGCTTATACGTGTGTGGTAGGAAACTACGGTGCCCAGGTAAACGGAGCTTTGCGGGCTGCCAACCAGCCGACTGACGACGCCCACATTCGCGAATCTCTGTTCCATTGCAATGGCGGTAATAATGGTGACATCTCGTTCATCCAGTACTGCGGTGGTGGTTGCCGCGACGGCGGCTCTGGTAAGAGTGATTACTGTTAAGCAGTCCCGGGATTGCTGTAACGTCGTGAAGTTAGGGTAGCTTCTTGCATACCGCAGAGGGCTCAGTGGCATATGTATGTATGGAAAGACTACGGATTATATTGGCTGTGTCTGAATCCAACCTTCATTCTATGTATGGCTATAGACCAGTCTAAGCCCCAGTATCACGTTTGATAAATTCAATTTTCATCTATATCATACTGTAGATTTTTTGATCCTTAAAAAGGGCAGAGGTCACTGAAATATGGATCAAAACATGTACTTCCTGGCTGACCTTTGTGAAGACCCCAGAAGGAGCTTGGTTTTGGCTATATAATAGCTCCATATTTTAGGTTGGATAATTAGCACGTGAAGCTCCGTAATGAAGCTCTTGGCAGCTTGGAAGTTCGGTAGTTTAGTACAGAGTCAGTCAATATATGGAGTAGGTCATTTTCCTGGATATCAGTTACTTATCCTTGCGCCTATCAGTTTCTGATCAGTAAGCGGCTAGTCAGTCAATGACGTCCAGAAGTTCAAGGTAGTCTTAGCTGAAGAACCAGAAAGCCTTGAGAGATGGTCTCTAGTTATCTTATATGGACTTTGCATCCCATCATTGTCTTGGTCATGACTGTATGCCAATGCATGTTAGACTAACCTATACGTAAACCCAGAGCCAAAGATATCGCTAAATGTAACCCTACTACCCTCAAGTTCCTGCTTTCTCCTCAGTGTTGAAAATGAGATTGGAACTTGTATAGACCAAACATCTTCACCCGTTGAAAGTCTTGAATCGCCGGTACAGCCTCGCTGTCTCTGTGTGAATATTTGGATACTTAGTCCCCCCCCCCCTTTTCTTTTCCCCCTTGGGCACCAGCGCGACCGGCATATTCAATGACACCACCATCAGCATCGAAACCTGCTTCAGGCCCGACCCCAAGCTGTACTTTCTGATAGACTCCGACCATTTAAATGCAGTAAGAACCTCGAGAAACCTCTCCGTGATGTTGCCTAGGTTTAATCCCTCACTAGATTATGCTAAATGCTCCAATATTGTTGCTATTGTCTTCATTATCTCTGCTTTTCGTGGTGAACAATCGGATCAAGCCCGATTTGATAGGTTCAATTACTTTCATTCTGATATTTTCTGGTTGCATGCTCCCTTTCCACTTGTATTACACAACTGCACTATGATGTGATCTAGCTAATAGCTTTCAAGTTAAGTTAACGGTTGCTGCCGGAATTACATTCAGCGTGCATGCCTTCCTTCTCTGCTATTCTCCTCCAGAAGAACAGAACCTGTCATCTCTGATACTATGCACGATTGGTGGTTCGATGGCACTCTATAATTCCTTACTTATGCTTTGGTGAATGAGTCATTACCCAGGTTACTGCTTGGATAGGCATTCAGCTAGGGTCCCGCGACAATTAATTTTTTATGTACTGGATTTGTGGCCTTTCCTAGGATGTTCAAAAGTATCTTGATGAGGGGACAAGCCCCGACCTTTGTGACAAGAACAACAAGCAGAGCCAGGGAAAACAGCTGTTGGCAATAGCTGCTACCAATGACCAGATACGTATAATGAGCTCTTTGAAAGCTATTGCTTTATGAGCGCGCGTCGCTAGCCGCAAGGTGAGTGTGGGTAATTTGGATGATGTCGTCCAGAGCGCAGGTGAGTTAGACAATTCGCCAGGACTTTGGTGAAGTTAAATAGGGGCACTCAACTTGGTTGTTAAACTTAAGCCTATTATAAGAGATCAACTGCCCATCTCATAGGAGCTCCTCTTAACAGGGATGATTGACATTTTGTGCGATCGAACAGTAGTTGTGTCGGGCGAATCGCACTTCCCCGCTTCCCTTTCCATCTCCTGCGCCCTCTCTGAGAGGCCTGTGTATATACCAAAAGAGTATATAAATAAATTAAGGTACAGGGATTGGAGTCTCCTTAAAACAATTACTTTGGTTTTTTTCATTTTCATAGAAGACTTTACAACACTACGTATCCTTAGGAACCTTTAACATTATGGTCCTTCTCTCTACGGAATGGCTTGAGGTCAAGATCTCACCAATCAGCTTCATAGTATGGTTAGTTACTAATAAGCAAGGGTACAGCTTGAACAAGCCCTCGGAAGTCGCCCACTTCTCAAAGGCTCCCCGGAGGACATCAAGGAGCAGTACAACGGACTTATGGCTTTCCTTGCAGCGGCCCGCCCTCCCCCAGACCCATCTGTCTCCGCGAAAGATATGACAATCGCCGGGGTCAAGTGTCGGGTATACACGCCCGGTTCGCCAGCAGCTCCTCGCCCCGTGGGAATATACACCCATGGAGGTGGATTTGTTTGTGGTGATCTCGACTCTGAAGATGCGCTCTGTCGAGTGATCTCCAAGGCCATAGACTGCATTCTTGTCAGTGTAGACTACCGACTTGGCCCTGAGCATAAGCTCCCAGCCATGCTCCAGGATACTTTAGCGGTATACCATTGGGTATGACTTACTCTGCCCTGGAAAGGACTATTCTAACAACATTCCCCATTGCCCAACAGGTATGGGAGAACGCCTCCCATTTCAGCGGCAATCCGGCCGCGTTCTTCTCCATTGGCGGAAGCGCCGGAGCGGGATTGGCACTTGCTGTTGCGAACCATTTTGCTCAGCGAGATGACGGTAGGAAGTATATCAAAGGAGTTGTTGCACTAGTACCATTGGCATTGCACTGGGATAATGTCCCTGCCGAGCATAAAGGCGACTATACGTCGTATGACGAAAACGCAGACAATGTCCCGGTTATCGACAAGTCTACAATGGAGACATTCTATCGTAAGTCATTATTCAAAAGCCAAATCCAACCCTATTCAACAGCTTATACTTATATCAGAGGCTGTCGCGGCCGATCCATATGATTCTAACATATTCACTGCCTTGTCACCCCATCTTCCAAACTTTCCACCTACGTACATCTGTACCTGCGGAGCGGATCCCCTCCGGGACGATGGGACTGTAATGGAGAAGGCTCTCAGGAAGGCTGGGTAAGTTTCATATTACAAATGGTCTACCATGTGGTTCTGCCTTGGGCATTTCTAACGGCGGTATCTCTTAGTGTTGCAACGAAGCTGTCAACATATCCAAATCTACCTCACTATTTTTGGATTTTCCCGGACCTGGAAGCTAGTGGAGGCTTCATCAATGATGTGATTGCTGGGACAAACTGGGTCATTTCACATTTTCCGACTTTGAATTAGATCATCGGGCTGGCTATTTCTGCCTGACTGGCTGTTATGGCTGTACAAAGTATCTCACCTGAGTCTCAGTAATTCACAACAAGATTTTATAAAAGAAGATTTCTGAGCGTAAAGAATCGGTTTATGTGTAATCCTATAGCTTTAAGAGCTGTATATGTTATTATAGGTGTTAATACATTGGGTGTCCTGCCGTCCGTGCTGGTGGTGTTAGGACCTTCGGCTATATCTTATTGTTACTCGCACCCATGCTTACTAGTGGCTTTTGTCAGAAGAGTAAATCTATGTTCCTGGAAATAATGCCCCTCAGGAAGCGATGATCGGATCGGCCCCAGGGCTATGTGGAGTCAAATCTAATCTACTCCGCGTCGCACGGTTGCGAGTCGCGACAAAAGTCAATCCCTGCAGTGTTGGTGCGAGTAGTGCGAGTCGCACTCCCAAGCCGGGAACGCAGATCCGACCGGATTTTCAGGACATTGAAAAAGCTCAATGAGCAAGAAAGACAATATATATATTACAGAGTGATATTGCGGCATCGCATTAATTTAAAGAATACATTTCACAGCCATTTCTATATTCCTTACTATCGCTTCTATTCACATAGCCAAGCTACAACAACAACAACAACAACAACAACAACAACAACAACAACATGAACGGCACCCAAGCAGCATCCAACGGCGTCCATCACGGCGTGTTACACCTAGATGCGCTGATTATTGGCTCGGGCTTCTCCGGGATATACCTCCTCCACAAGCTACGGGACGAGCTGAAACTGAATGTCAAGATCTTCGAAGCCGAGTCAGATATTGGTGGAACATGGAATAATAACCGCTATCCTGGGGCGCGAGTGGACTGTCCAATTCCATTGTATGCATATTCAATGCCGAAGGTTTGGCAGTCGTGGAATTGGACGGAGTTGTACCCCAATCAGAAGGAAATCAAGTCCTACTTTGACCATGTTGATCGCGTGATGAATGTGCGGAAGGATTGTCTGTTTAAGTCGAGAGTCAACGAGGCCACGTTTGATGAGGCGGCTGGGCGATGGACGGTCCGGACGACGGATGGGAAGGTGGCAACGGCGAAGTATCTGGTAGTGGCGGTAGGCTTTGCATCCAAGTCGTATCTGCCCGATTGGAAAGGGCTCGAATCGTTTCAGGGGACGATTTACCACTCGGCACATTGGCCAGAAGCCGAAGAGGTCAGTGTAAAAGGGAAGAAGGTGGCAGTCATCGGCACAGGCTCGACAGGCGTCCAGATCTTCCAAGAGTGGGCCAAAGAGGCCGAAGAGGCGTTTCTCTTCCAAAGAACACCGAATCTCTGTCTCCCGATGAGGCAACAGGAGTTACATGCTGGCTATCAGGTGAAAGATAAGGGGAGCTATGCAGACTACTTCGCCGAATGTGCGTTAACCTTTGCTGGGCTGGAGTATCAGCCAACTCCGAAGAATACATTTGATGCGTCTGAAGAGGAGAGGGAGGCGTTCTGGGAGAACCTCTACCAGTTGGGCGGGTTCAGGTTCTGGCAAAACAACTATGAGGACTTCTTGACCAGCCTTGACGCCAATCGTGAGGCATACAACTTCTGGGCTCGAAAGACCCGTGCGAGGATTCAGGATCCGAAGAAGCGAGACCTTCTGGCTCCGCTAGAGCCCCCGTACCCGTTTGGAACGAAACGGCCATCCCTTGAACAGGACTTCTACGAGCAGTTCAACAAGCCAAATGTCCATATTGTTGACACAAAGAGCCAGCCCATCGTTAATGTGGCACCTACCGGCATTGTCACCGCTGATGGAAAGGTCCACGAAGTCGATATTATCGCTGTGGCAACGGGCTTTGATGCAGTAACTGGTGGCTTACTGCGCCTGGGTCTTAAAGACGTGAACGGTGTCGGTCTCGACGAACGCTGGAAGGACGGCATGTCCACCTATCTCGGCATGGCCATTAGCGGATTCCCAAACATGTTCCTCCCATACAGCCTCCAAGCGCCCACCGCTTTCGCCAATGGACCGACTCTAATTGAACTCCAGGGAGACTGGATCACATCCCTGATCAGCAGGATGGAGACGGAAAACGTCCGAAGTGTCACGGCTACCCCTAATGCGGAGAGTGCTTGGAATGACGAGGTTAATATGATTACCAACATGACGCTTCTGCCATTGACTGATTCGTGGTACATGGGATCCAACGTTCCGGGCAAGCCCGTTCAATCATTGAACTATCTTGGTGGTCTTCCAACCTATCGAGAGAGGTGTGCGAAGGTTCTTGATGAGGATTTCTTCGGTTTTGCGAAAGCATGATGTCTCTTTACACCAGAGTAGAATTGCTTTTCCAAATACATGTAAATATGATATTTCCTACCAATGCTTAATTTATACTGATATTTCGATTGGGTCACCTAGTTATCAAGCAAAACATTTATAATTTACGTCTGTATTGACTTTTTTCATGTGATGACTTTGTCCCATCAAAGGACATCTGTGTATAAACTGAAACGCGCCAATACCCATGGTACATGCCATATTGCGCCTATCAAATGGCATAAGGACAGAAACAAGCAGAATACCTCACGTCACGGACTAAATGGGCAATACGGGTAGTGAGCTTTCAGGAGGGAGAGTGAAAAAAGAAGGTGATGTCAGATTCTCGGATGACATGTCTTCTTCTAAGGTGGGAAATATAGAGAAGAAGGCCTTGCACATCTTCCATTTCGAAAGGTCCACCAAATGCAGACTGAAGGCCTCCGAAAATGAATATAGTCCGTCCTCAGGGTTAATCTCATAGGCATTACTGATAGAATGGGGCCACGACAATCGGAAGCAAGAGGCAAAGTACTTGAAGAATCTGTCCGTAAGTATGTCGCAATTTGAGAACACTAGGCGTTCACGGAAGCCAGGCCTAAGTTTTCCGGAACTAGTTAGTTCTTTGAAACAAAATTATGAAATCGAATAGAGGGGGCTATATATCTATGTACCAAGCGAAATAGTCCGCAGTGAGATTGTGCGGCAAGTAAAGCTGTGAAGGCCTTGGTGGGTATTTAGCATAACTAACATGCAATCAATGATGATCAGGCGAATACAAACCTCGGTCGATACCACGGGGGAACCCCTCTAAAATTATTTTGATAACTCTTTGCCTGGAAGAAGGTCAATATACAGGGATGTTACTTGTTCAGTAGCTCATACCACGAGCATCTTGAGGATGGTGCTGAGCATTGTCAGCCGTGTTAGGACCCCACTTTGTATGAAAATCCGCTCATCAATTTGGCTAATGATTTTCCACAGGGGGCACGAATACGCCTGGTCCTCTATAAAGTGCCAGCCTTCAAGGACCCCGCGGATCATGGCGTCTTGGTTTAGCTTGTCATCGGAGCAAATGTCTAGGATACTCAACCCCGACCATTGCGTGAGAAGTTCATCGGTGAATTCAAGTATCGTACAACTGCCACTATCCTGAAGCGATGGAGAAATGGCTGGCCAGGCGGTCGAGTGTCCGTTCCCCCAATTCCCAAGGGCTTGTCTGAAAGGAGCTACTGTTTCTGAGTCGGAAGAAGCAGCTGATAGTTGTGAGGCCAACATTGTAGGCGGCTCATCGTGTAAGGACAAATGGAGATCGGACGGGGGCAATGGGCAACTCCCGATGGAGTCTTCTTGAGATATGACCATAGGTGGTAACCCTGGATCGAGTCTGTCGGAGTCAGAAAACGTTCATCGTCGGGTGAGGGAAAGGCCACAGTACCGAGTCTGAGATTGCAATAAAAGATGTAATGCAGCGACTTGGCTTTGGAGATTCTTCAGGCTGTTTTTTTCTTTTTCCTGTTTTTCTCGTTTGGATATCCTGTCCTTGTAACGCTTGCGCTCTCGTTGCGCCGGGGTCAACACACGACCAGAGGTCCATGGTTTAGTCGGCATCGATCGGTCTGACGATATTCGTGTAGCCATTGGAATCAAGCAGCCTTCAACTTTTGGACAATCGTGGGGAGATTACCTGGCGTGTAGAGGATGTCGCAAACGAGTAATAGAGGGTCTGGGACGTCAGAGATCCGGGAACCCCAGATAATCTCACACCCCGCACTTGTTCCCCGTAATTCCAATGCTTCGTTTTGCCCCCGACTAGGACGCTTTGGGATAGACCGAGGTGCTAAAGGTTCGAATTGTGGCTATCCAGGGTTTCAAAGAGTGTCGAAAGTCCGCGGGACCCGGTGACCCAGTGCGAATTACGTACGACGGGATCTATGATTGGCCCTTCCGCCGATCGGTGGATCAACATCTGGGTTGTGCGAATCGCGCAAATCATAGGAAATGATCGGCAGTAGTAACCCTGCCGAAGGGAAATTGTATATAGAATACCAAAGTCGCCTTCCTGTGCCAGCTTCTCGTTCATGCTAAAATACACTGTCAGTGATCATAGCCTTAGAAAACCACAGCAATCGCATTAGTGAAATTGAATTCTAAGCAAATTGTCAGAATCACTATGTCGCCTTCAGTCGAAATTCCCAAACAGCACAAGGCGGCAGTCTATGACAAGCCTGGATCTGTATCAACCAGTGTGAAACTGGTGGAGACACCAGAGCCGGGATTTGGCCAGGTTCTGATTAATATGTGAGTATTGCTAATGTTACTACCTTGGTTTTCGTGCATGAGACCACTAATCTGTGGTATCGAACAGGACTCATTCCGGTGTCTGTCACTCGGATTTAGGTGTCATGACAAATTCCGTGAGTACATGCATTATATATCATCCACTGGAATGCATTTGACACGTTGCCGAACATCAGTGGAAGGCACTACCGTTCCCAACTCAGGAAGGGCAGGTTGGCGGTCACGAAGGTGTTGGCGTGGTCGTGAAACTTGGGCCTGGATGCGATAATTCACAAGTCAAAGTAGGGGACCGCGTTGGAGTCAAATGGGTTGCCGCTGTCTGTGGAACATGCTGTGCGTTGACCCCATAATTACACCAAGCTAGAACTAAATACTAACGGAAAGCTCCCAGTGCCTTGCCTTGCGGGGTCTGACGGCCTTTGCTTGGATGGAAAGATATCAGGCTATTATACCCCTGGTACCTTTCAGCAGTATGTTCTGGGGCCCATCAATTATGTGACCCCAATTCCAGATAGTGTCCCGTCCGAACTAGCAGCACCTATGCTTTGCGCGGGTGTCACGGTGTATGCGGCCCTCAAACGCAGCAAGGCGCAATCTGGTGACTTTGTCGTTATTTCAGGGGCGGGAGGTGGTCTTGGACATCTCGCCACACAAATTGGAAGTCGTGGCCTTGGGCTTCGCATCATTGGAGTCGATCATGGCAGCAAAGCTGACTTGGTGAAGGAGAACGGTGCAGAAGCTTTCGTGGACATAACCCAATTCCCCAAGGACGATAATGGCGCCGCAATTGCAGAGCATGTCAAATCTCTGACCAACGGTCATGGTGCCCATGCAGTAATTGTGTGCACGGCATCAAATATTGCCTATGCGCAAGCAATTCCTATGCTCCGCTTTAATGGCTCCCTGATCTGTGTAGGCATTCCTGAGGGCGATTTGGTGCCCATTGCCACAGCAAGCCCCGGCCCTCTCGTGCTTAAGCAGATTTCGATCGAGGGGTCCGCAGTTGGAAATCGACGGGACGCCCTTGAGGTTTTAGACTTTGTTGCGCGCGGGGTCATCAAGCCTCATGTTCGAACGGAGAAGCTGGAGAAACTAACAAGCATTTTCGAGGAGATGCATTGTGGTAAGCTCAACGGACGAGTGGTTATAGACCTATCTTAAGACCTCGGAATGGATAAATGGACTGTCGCCACGACCTTTCCCTTTCCACATCCTCCGATAGCTGCTTGATTTTATCTACCCTCACTTTGATCCAATACCATTTGTATGAATTATCAGCGCAATACAGTCTGTTAGGGTTAGCGGGGTTAAGTTAAACCGCGGCTTATCCGCTAGTTTATCCTAGCGGCCCTCCTGTTGTATGCTTTTGTTTATCTTTTATTATTTCATTTTGATTTTGAATCTTTTTTCTTGGTTTGGACTATTCAATTCTTACACTGCTTCAATGAGGGTTATAGTCACGATATCTTTTAACCGAAAAAAAGCATTATGCCAAGCTTGTATGGTTGACTGCCATACATACAAGCAGCGCGTTACCATCGTCTATAAATTAGTAGGTATACTTATATCTCGGATGCCTATCCCCCAGCTTATCAAGTTGCTCCTCATACGGCAAGTCCTCTACCCCCCTCAACAATCCCACCGGATCACTCTTTTTCCTGCGATTCAATATCCGCAACAAACCAACCTGCGCTACCACAAGCGCCATCGCAATCACCGTCAAGGAGAGATTAAATCGGGACCCCAGTTCATAGTATGGCGCTGACTTCTCGGGGTAGATCCACGTGCTCATGATCCCACCGCAATTCGTTGCAATAAACGCCATAGCTACAGCAGTTGCGCGCCGTACATGACCGGCCGTGTTATTGGGGACCCAACTGATTAAACATGGGGCGCACGCATACACGCCAGTCAAGAGGAGCACCAGAGCAGCGTAGCGAACGCCGATACTGCGCCCGTTGATGGCCAATGCTGCACCGATCAAGGCAATGCCGCTGGTAACGAAGGCACCAATACCACGCTGCTGATAACGGTCGGAGAAGTACGCTGTGATCATGGTTACGACGAATCCGCAGGCGTACGGTGGCACCGTCATGAGTTGCGTTTTGGTGGAGCTGTACCCGAGTGCCTGCACAATGGAGGGTGAGAAGTATGCGAGGCCGAAGAGACACGCGCCGTTGCAGAAGAGAATGAGACATGCGATCCACACATGGAGGTCCTTCAGGACGGAGATCACTTCTTTGAAGGAGACCTTGGTTTCGGTCTCGAACTTGTTACCGTCTTGCTGCAGTCGGGCTATGCACCGCTCTGTGTGCTCGGAGCGGAATGTGATCACCTTTTCTGGGCCATTGGGCAGCACTAGGAATGAGAAGAGGCCAAAGCAGACTGTGAAAAGACCCTCCAGCAGGAAAATCCACTGCCATCCCTTCATTCCTCGCAAGCCGCTCATCTGCTGGATGGCGGCGGCCAACAGACCTGAGAATGCACCGCTCAGGGAGGCTGCGGAAAAGAAGAGCGCAATACGAACCTGTAGCTCGTGGCGGCGGTAGAAGTTGGACAGAAATAGCACAATCCCAGGAAAGAGGCCGCCTTCGAGAAGGCCGAGAAAGAAGCGGCAGGCGAGGAAGCCGGAATAGTTGTGCACCTGAGATTGGAGTGTGGTGACCAAACCCCAGAGGGTGCACAGCGTGGGCAGAAGGATACGAGGGCCAATGATCTTCAGCAGGAGATTGGAGGGCAGTTCAGAAATCACGTAGGGAACATATGTCACGGTAATGGCTGAGCAGTTAGTGTGGGTTGGGCGAAGCTATCCGGAAAAATGTACCTGTTTTGTATTGCAGATCGGTCAAATTCAAGTCTTTTTGGAGACCAGCCTTTAGTTCTATGGTTAGCCGAGTATTATCAGTGAAGATGATGCATTGAACCCACCACTCGTGCATTTCCGACATTTGCACGGTCCAGCCAAGCCAGGAGATACAACATGAGCGTCATTGGCATCAGTAGCAGATCCAGCCTCCGAACTGTTTGTCGGTCGAGTTTCAGGGTTCGCTCATCCATTGGGATCTCTTCCTCGATGATATCCTTTTTAGCCTCTGGGTCCCCAGTTGGGTCGGGGAACGATTTTGTGTCGGCCATTATGACAATGAAACTGCTAATTGTAGGGATGATCCCCTAGAAAGCTCCAATGCGTGTCGCAGTCGCCGCTTCTTATACCCGTTGTTTCAATGCAAGGGATGCGGTTCCTGCAGAAGGCCCAGAACTGCCGAACAGCTGGCCGAAGCAGGCGTGAATACGGGATGTGGCTCCTGTCTTCTGGGGGAGAACCAATGACATTCTCATAAGCATTTCCAAGACCCCAGACCAATTGAGCCAAGACGATCTCCCCGACTATCCCCATTGCCTATCCTGCTTTTAAGATGCGGGGGCGGGGCCACTAAGCGAGGCTTGCGGGGAGTCATTCGCACCCTTAACCTCGGTCCCTGGACGCAGTGTCTGGACCTCGCTCCCTCCTTATCTTCAGATTCGCAAGGTGGCCGATTGGAATTTCGCTGGATGATTGTTTGATTCTTCCTAAAACTCATCAGGTCTAAGGATCATTTAAACGTTCTCGGTAGTCTGTTTCGGTAGATATGATGGTACGAGACAATACAATCGACTTGGTCCGTCAGGTCAGGTTCAAATCCCGATAATGTCCCTGTCACAGATCGAGTAGGCCTTCAGTCGAGATGGATGCATTTATGAAAATAGAGGATAGAAAATGTCCACAGCTCTCGAGGAAGAAATTGTACTGTATTTAATTTAGACACAAATAAGCTAGAGCTTGAATAAGTATCTCACGTGCGGGTCAGAACCCCTAAAAACAGATATCACCATTTTGACTAATGTTACGAAAATCAATCACACTGCCGCATGATCAGATCCCAAATAAGAATGTGTACGTTTCGCTTGATAAACAATCAACGTTCTGACTTCTGAGGTGTCCAAAAAACCCCGCACGCGGCTTTCCTAGGTCGGCCTAGTGCCTGAGCACCAGGATCTGCATATAAATAATCCTTCTGTTCCTCGTACATCAGGTCTTCGAGCGATGGATCAAGCTTCCTATTTCCTGGGGTCTTAATGTACAATCTATCTTGCAGCACATTATACAATGTTCACACGGATCTATTCGTTCTGCGAAGTATGGAAACGCGACTCAAGTGAAGGAAAAACGTATATGATGATCGTAGCCCTGATGGCGTGCTCTCCGAACGGTCATATTGCATCAATTACCTCAATTGCATGACAAATCACAAATATGACGTGACTAATAATTGGTTGCTTTCTTTGTCTGTTAACTTCCATTTGTCTTGATTCCTGAGTCTGTAACCTCAACAAGATTGATAATCCAATAGGAGGAGCCGGAATTAATTCCGGGCAGGGATCCTGCCGCAGCCCCGCTCGGGCAGTATGAATACAGTTATATAGAGACGGGCACCATCTGAGAAGCATATTACTTCGATTGTTTGAGTACATTTCACGGCGTGCAACTGAGAGTTCCTGAATTTTACGAATCTTCTCTTATTCCTCCTAAATTAATCATTCACAATGGTCCTCAAACTTCACGGATTCCCTCTTTCCACTTGTACCCGTCGAGTACGCACCGTTCTCGCAGAGAAGGGTCTCGAGGCCGAGTTCCAGCCAGTCGACTTGGCCAAGGGCGAACAAAGAACAGAGTCCTACCTGAACGACCTGCATCCCTTTGGCAAAGTTCCCGTTTTACAAGACACCGAGACGGGTGTTCAGATTTTCGGTTCGCAATTCCCCGCCGACTGTCCAATTGCTAACAGAACGCTAATATCAATCAAATAGAAAGCAGAGCCATTAACCAGTACATCTCCAGCAAGTACGCCGGCCAAGGAACCGCACTTTCCCCTCCCGAGTCCGATCTGAAAGCCTGGGCTCTGTACCAGCAGGCACGTAGACACTCTTGCCAACGTACCTCCTATATCGCTAAACGCTAACGAGATACAGGCCCTCTCCATTGAACAATCCTACTTCGACCCGATCGTTTCTCAGATCGCTTTCGAGAAAGTCTTCAAAGCCCGCAAAGGTCTTGGCGAAACCGACGAGGCTCGCGTCAAGGTCCTTCTTTCGCAGCTCACGCCTGTCCTCGAGGGCTATGAGCGGGTGCTTTCCAAGCACAAGTACCTTGCGGGTGACCAGGTGACGCTTGCGGATCTGGCGCATCTGCCCTATGGTGTGTTTGTGGAGCAATTCGGTTTCGCTGATCTTCTTCCGAAGTATCCCCATGTTCAGAAGTGGTGGGAGGAGCTGAAGGCGAGGGAGAGCTGGAAGAAGGTTACTGCTTAGGTTTATACCTCTTTGTGGTCAATGGACTAGATCGAGATCCCGCGTGGAATCGACGATGTCAATGTTAAAGACGTTTAGAAGGTACTAATTGAGATAATAAATTAACATTATGGCAAATGTCGCCGCCTATTACTATTTACAGATGGCAGCGACTGTTATTCATTTTCGCCAGTCACTCTCAACCAACAATCAATTATTGACTCTATACTATATATAGTGTATATGTAGCATAGGTACGAAGAATGAAAGCCCCTAGAATTGACCAATCAGATCGAGAGAATCAGTACATTGGCCCTACGTTAGGTCCAAAAAAAATAAAATAAGGAAAAAAAAAAAGAAAAGAGCAAGCAAAAGAATGGCATACCTTGATACTCTTACCAAATATCACCATCCATACCGTCTTTCTCGACATGAGTTTCCAATATACACTCTTGTATATGGCTCTCAAGCCCTAACTGCCAAGCCACGTTGAGCCACCTAGGGTCTGTGCATATTTATGCGCGTCCCCTACTCGAAGACGCGTCCTCGCGCTAATCCCCTAAAACAATTATTTTGGCTTTAATAATAAATTCCTGCGCAGAGACTTGTTATCGGAGTGGGCTTTTAGGAGATTCGACTCCACCCCTGGGTCGGCCGTAAGATAGCCAGGCCTAATGGATTCTCTCTACCAGCAACTCCAGTATCTCATCAGGAAACTAAGCGGACAGGGCCAATAACAAGTAAGATTAACATATCGGGACTGGACGGAAAATGTTACTCATGTACATCTTTGGCTATAAGGCGAAAGTCGCGAAGGTATGCGCAGCAGTGTTTGCCCGCGCTGTGGACACACGCGTCGAGCATCATTAGTGATCAACAGGTGGTCCGGTTAATGTAGAAGGAACGGTTACAATAGACACATTCAAGGGGTTATTCGTACTGTGGGAGCGTCTAGCGAACCACAAGCAAGATAACGAAGAGTCGAAAAACGCCGGGGCTTTTTGTGCATACGCAGTGGAACGGAGTAGAAGATGGTCGTTGTCTTTTTTTTTTTTTTTTTTGTTTTTCGTCGGATATCGCGGGAGTTGGTTATCAAGTCATACACTGAGTTGGCAGTGCAGATATCCTTGATACAAACGGTGGCCGTGGGCCGAAACTTGTTCAGCCATAGAGATTAGTATGGCGATGATTGTACCTCATACCCCGCGTGTGGGCCGGCGGCCTTCCTTGGCACGTCGAGGGCCATGTGATCAATCGAAGCTCATGTAAGGTTACGATGATGGGAGAAGGGTGTCATTTTGATTGGTTGGCCAACACGTTAGGCAGGCTAATGGACTGGCGAAGGGATGGCTATAAGAACGGGGTCCTCTCCGCTGGTATTTTTCATTTTTTCTGTGCCTTTTCCTTTCGGTAATTGTTGGATAGTGGTATGAGAGAGATGAGCGGTGAGAGTTTTGAGGAAATTATGGGAGGGTCTAATGGAGGTGGTGGTCGGACAGCTGCTGGGTTTGTAGTCCTGGCGTTTTGGGGAGATCAGGGTAGTGGTATGTTTTCGAGACTTGTTGAAGCTTATGGTCAGGATAGATATGGTTATGAAGGGCAGGAGAGGGATGATGAGATGGGCTGGGCGCCAGAGCCAGTGAATGAGAGTAACGTTGGGGGAAATAGAGGAGCTCGGGACGGAAGCGAGGATGCCCAGAGAGGAGGTTCTGGAAGTGGTGGCGCGTCTATGACCCCCGATGAGGCTATGGATAAGGGAATGAGATTGTGTTCTAAGAGGGATGATCACTGGCGTGGGATTGTTGATTGTTATTTTCGGATTGAGGGTCACTTCCACGCGATCCAGGATTTGTATCGCCAGATTCATTATTATACCGGTTGCTACCCTCATAGAATTGAGTGCTATTCCGCTTATTATCACACAGTTCGTGACCACTTTCACAAAATTATTGATTGCTGTGGTATGATAGAATGGCACTCTCGCGAGTGGGAGGATGCCCAGGCAGAGTTGAATGACTTGATGGATCTCAGGGGGGATTAACCAGCATGGTGCTAGAATGTGATGCGGAAGGGTCGATGGCGATGGAGAAATCGAGATGGTATTAAATTGACGGATCACATGGTTATAGGTTTGGAATGGGAATTGGAAGAAACTATCATTAGGTTGGAAAGAAGAGGAATAGGTGAAGGGAGGTTCATGGAAATATTGATTGTGGATTAGTTAGTACACTGGGAGGCGTAATGAAAAGCTGGGGCAAAACTAGCAGTGTCAGTAATTCTTCGTAGAATGTTGCGATCACTCTTCTCTCGTATTTATCGGATCTACTTTGGCATCCTTGGGTTTTTAGCGCAGGGAAAGCCCAACCTTTCATCCTACGGCTAACGCTAGTGCTAACACAATGGGTGGCTTTGTGACCGCAATGACTACAGTATTAGCTCCAGATGATTTAGGCAGCCAGAGTCCAGCATGGAGGCTGCAGCAACAAGGGTGTCTATCGCCTACTAAGGAGAACACCGAACGTGCATATTAATTGATTGTGCCCTGCATGCTGAATATGTAGCGCATGAGCAGCATTCTCAGAATATGTATTATTGTATCCTGCTGTATACCTTCAAGGAAACTTCATGGTGTTGTATTTCACCTGGGGATCTCGGTACAGATGATTTATGGTATCAACATTAAGATCTGGAAAGTACTCCATAGATCGAGCGTAAGCATTAGGAACATTCGTTAAAACGATAAAACTACCTAAGTATGCAATCCAAAGATAAACATTGTCCGCGTCAAAACCTGATCATCTATCATACTCAGAACCACTATTCAATGCCTCCACCTAAGCATAGCGGCCATTCTGCTGAGGAGCGCTTGTCCAATGCAGATACGACAGCTCCAGCCTGGTTTGAACACTCTCATGTGGATCAACATCCTCATTGGGCAAGATGAGATTGCCCTCACGATATCTTACCTCGCCATACCGTACATGTCGATCGCCAACAACGGGTAAAAACCTATCTAAGTCACCATTTAACCCATCTGCTTTCAAAACAGGGGCATTGAAGGCCTTTGCTATGTCAACTGGACTCATGGTAATTGGCCGGCCAATCTTCCACCATTCATAGAACGTCAATGCTACTACAGCTAAACATACACCCATAACAGCTGCCCCCGCAGCTAGGTAACCATAATGGACCTGGAATACCGATACATCCTCCAGCTTGACAACATCGACTGTCTGGTTTTGCTGGATCAGTTCTTCTCCATGTTGAAGAAGAGGTAGAGGCTGACTGGAGTTATTCGGCACCGAGAGCGCAGTACGGAACATAAGCTTTTGCAGTTCAGCGACCACTTGAGGGGTAGGGTCTTTCCATGTATCTTGACAGCTGACAAGCTCATCTGCCCGTGTGAGGTGATCCTGTGCGAGCATACCGGAGGTTTCCAGCGTCCAGGCATGATTTATCTGCATTCCGACGGCCTTGGACTGGAGAAGGTCATTCGCTGCTAGGTATACACCACCAATGGTACTGTTGGTAGTTATGTCTTCCTGTTCGTTCGTATCGTAGATTTCTGCAATGGTTTCAGGGGTTCTACCGAGGTCTTCCAACGATGAAGAGAACTCAATAGCACCATCTACAATTTCGATCGGATAAAACAGCGTAGCCAAATGAAATGCACATCGATTCACTTGCAGCCGACTGTTGCAGTCTTTCTGATCTTTATACGTTGCAGTGAAATTAAAACTGGATGGTCGACGCAAGGGATCAAACGTGAAATTCGTCGAGAACATGACCCTCTGAGCATCCCCCATCCCTACCACAGTCCCCTTATAATTTGAAGGAACTAGTTTTCCCGTTCCATTTTCCGCACCGTAGATCAGACTTCCGAAGTCCTGGGGCAGGGTCTCGAGAGAGCAGTCAACAGCTAGCCCAGCTGCCCGAATGGTCGTCGAGCAGTTCCCATTGGCGCAACCGGTGTCATTGAGGTACATCGGCTCTGCAGAATTATGAGACAAGACTACTTTTTGGAAAGATGGAGTCATCCGCGTCACATCGCCACTAATGTGTCTTTGCATAGCACCCGTGTAGCCGAATGGAAGCTGCTGCGCAATCCCAACAGATAAAGGTACGTTGACTCGAGCCGGTCGCACAGTGACAGTAGTCGCTCTTTGAAATAGTGGACTGTCAATGGCAACAACGACTGATGCAATACTGGCAAGACCCAGAATATTGAAGAACCTGATCTGTTTTATCACGTCATATATGCTGTTGGCAAAGCTCCAATTTCGGTGGAGGTCGTATATCGTACATCCGTTAATAGCCTTGTTCCACCAAGTAATAGCTGCACCTTCGGCAAGGGCAAAGCGTAGTAGTCCGGTGCTGATGGCAGAGGATATAGCAAGAAGAACAGATGGCTGGATTTTCCAGCTGTTCTGAGGTTTTCCATTAGATGTTAAAAGAATCGTAATATTAAATATGAGGCAAGCTAAAACGCCCAAAAGAGCTGAGATTCCCAGTAATGGAAGTCGCTTTAGAACACCAGGTTCCCATGATTGTGTTACAGGGTTAGTCGAATCCTGACTCTTGCTGCTGGGCTTTTCTGGGCAGGTGGTTGTTGAGCAGGGTTTCGGTTCTTGCTGCGAAGACATTATATATGTGTAAGAAACTTTTGTCCTTTTGCGGCATGGCTAACGGGGTGAACAGCTTAGTTTCTGACTCAAGAAATGAAAGACTTTTTCATATATGTACCACAGTACAGACTTGCCGACATGAATTTAATATCCCTGTCCGAGGTCCTTTCACGTATTAGATATAGGCAACCCCTTTCGGGACCTGACTCGTTGGTATGCAGCCAAGTCCTAGATCAGCAACTCGCAATCATTCTAGCACTACTGAAATCTGTGAGGGGTATAGCAGTTCTTACTTCTAATAGAATCCAGGGGTTCGTTAATCACAACTAACGTAATCAACCACCGAGCGACGAATACCACCGAGCGACGAATTTTCGCCGCACCCTACTACTTTCTATCTCCAACGCGTCAATTTACATTACTATCATTGAAAAATGCCTTTATCACAAGAAAATAGAATTCAAATGGCTATTTCAGCTTATAAAAACAAAAAAATTCAATCAGTTTTAAAGACTGCAAATACTTTTAGTACTGTATACCTGAAGCAACCTTACGCACTCGTCTCAAAGGAAGAAAATCACGCGCAGAAACACGCGCCAATAGTCATATAATGACTGGATTTGAAGAAGAATCGCTTCTTCAGCGACTACAGTATTTCCGGAAATCGGTGTCACCACTTCTGCTCTTCTACTGTTCCCCGAACCCTAAATGCCAAGAAACGCCAAACTACTTCTGACTGCCTTGTCAGCCCCCTTGGTTTTGGCTTTGTTTTATAAAATACCGGATTATCATATTAGCGGGGTGGCGCGTGAGTTATAGGGAAATTTGAAATTATAGTTTCTCACCAGACCGCTTCACTCCTTCCTAGCGCGCTCTCTGGATTACAGTAAGCTGTATTTGGCCAAGCTCGGTCCCCTAGACATTGGGATTTACGGTATTTCTGACAGTCGGCAAAAGGTACATCAATCAGTGGCCAGGGGACCGAGCTTGGCCAAATGCAGCTTAATGTAATCCAGAGAGCGCGCTAGGTAGGAGCGAAGCGGTCAGGCCGGTTGTGCCCTGAGAGGTTTGGGTTGAAACAACCTAGTCAAAGGTTCATGTTCCAACATGCCTATGCTTGTGAATTTCGTTGTACAAGATCCAGATGTTGGCCCGGCCAAAAACTGAGAAAAGCAGCTTCACCACACGACGTGTTGACAATTCCCATGTTGCTGCGGATGAACTGGATTCGCTGATCGACAAATGTTTTGTGACCAGGGTCGTAAGACCAACTCTGTGCAACTAAACACATACAGGGGCTTTCTCGCCCTTTGCCCTTGGGATAAGCTGTCAGTGGCGATTACTGGCCCTTGTCCGGAGAGGCGCTACCCGCTGCAATCGACCCGCAGTTTGAATGGACCATTCTCTCATTGGCTCAGTAGCCAGATAAATTTACTTGACAGAGGAGAAATTCACTAACGGTTGTATAAATAATAATATTGATTATTACCTAACATGCTCAATATGGCAGGGAAAGTTGCCCGTACGGCAACACCTGCCCTTTGCAAAGATATTTTCGCCACAATTCGCGCAGTATTTATGCACATTCATGCGGCCTCCCCTAGGTGCTGCTTTAGGAATGGCAAGATTTCATCGAGGGCGGGTTTTACAGCCTCGGGCTTATCGTACAACATGTAGTGAGAAACGCCAGGGAGCACAACCAGCTTCTTTTCCTTCGAGGCAGCACGGGCGTAAATCTCGTTAGCATCCCGGTACGCGCCAAAAGCCCCGACTCGATCGCCAACGACAGCCAAGAAAGGACGAGTCATCAGCTTCTCGGCATATGCAAAGGCATCCCAAGAGACCGCAGCGCTATTGAAAGAGAACAGTCCGCTGGTGCAGCCAAACTCGGCTTGACCCCGCTCGGTCTTGTAGTATTCCGTTGCTTCCACCAAGTCAATATCAGTAGTGGCCTTTTCGGCCTCAGCCACATTTGCGAAAGGGAGGTAGTTAACCACGAAGCGATCGGCACCTTGAGCCTCCAAGGTGCGCTGTTTGGCCATTTTTTCGAGAGAGCCAGCTGGGTCGTATTCGCCAAAAGACTCGCGGGCGAGACGGCCGAAGTTGCCCGGGGTGACACCCACGCAGCATTTGAACCGGTAGTCCGTCATCGAGGCGTGGAAAGCGTAGCCACCGCCACCGCAGATTCCCAAGACACCGATACGCTCCGGGTCCACGTATGGGAGTGTCTGGATGTAGTCGACAATGTAGCGGAAGTCAGAAACACGGAACTCGGGGTTCTCGACAAAGCGCGGCGTTCCGCCCGAAGCGCCCTGGAATGAGGCGTCAAAGGCCACAACCACAAATCCGGCCTCGGCCATAGCCTTGCCATACACGTTTCCTGAGGTTTGCTCCTTGCACGAACCGATTGGGTGGGCCGAAACCACGGCAGGGTACTTCTTCTTGCTGTCAAACTTGGGCGGCAAGTGGATATTGGCGGCGATCTCCCAGGCGATGCCCGGAACAGCGACAGACTTGACAGTTTGAGACATTTTGATGGATGACCGACTGCGAAACAGTATTCGTCGTTGTCGATGGGATCTCAATTCAATGGGATTTGGTCCAGGGCAGCGGGTGCAAGAAGTCCTTATATAATGTCGGCGGAGGGGAGCAATGAAGACGTCATCACCCCGGCCTCTGGCGGGGGATGACTGACTGTGAAAATTATCAACTTCAATAAGCAACTCGGGGTTAACAACCGTACTTCCTCCAACAGTCATCGAAGTCAGCCTTCTCTGGTTATTCCGAAGAATTTCGGGATCCAATGCATTTTTCGATCAGAAGCCCCCGAAATATTTCGGACTTGCTGATGCTGGTCGGAGTGGCCCCGGAACATGCACGGAGATAGGTGTTATTCGCCCCAAATACCGATCACCACAATGTCATCTTGTGCCAAATTTATTCAGCATGGTGCTAGGCTTTGATACTCTTCAAATTTGGCCTGGGCTGTGCACTTTACTGTTAAACATCGAATCATTTCCTCTTTGTAAGGAACTTTAATCTTCCTTTTTCCTTTCCTTTTTCTTTTTTTTTTTTAAAAAAAAAAGCAGTGGTGAACTCTACTGCTATTTGCCCTTGAAAGGGCCATGCGGAAAGAAGGATGGGATTTGGATATAAACGTAGATGACATCCAATTCTTACATTTCAATATTCTCTTCGACCGTGTTGTATTTTGTCATGCCAAATAATTCTTTTGACGAAGAACATGTACTCGCCAAGACCATCGACTATGAACTATTAATTTATCCCAGAAGAGCTTTTCGGCCTCAGCCACATAGTTTTGCTCGGGAATAGCAAACAACCCTTCTTCAAAAACTATGGTAACCTATAATGCAAAGCTCTCGCTTGCATTAAACTGCTGGAAGTTTTTTTTTTGTTTCAAAAGACATTCATGGCTTGAACATGTTACTTTTTTTGATTAGGATTAGGAGTATCGAAAAGCCCTTCTTGACTTTGAACGACTCGAAGGGAGCGCATACAGTTATGGATGCGAGGTAGCTCTTAAGGCCTTTCAATTGTAGAAGATTGCAGACCGAGTTCTTGCAGTCACTACCGATTGGTGTCCGCTACCAGATATCGTATTCCTTACAGTCGGCAACAGGTTCATACATCATTGGTTAGCTGAGGAACCAACGCTGGCTATAGGCCGCTCAGGCAATCCAGAGAACACGCGAGGACAGAAGGGTGGGCTAGTCTGTTGATGAACCTTGTTTTAAGGTTTTACTGTGAGGAAACGCGCTTTCCACTATTACTATAGTCCGGTTATCTACAATACAGTGTCTAAACCATTGCGGCTGAATGGCCATTCAAAAACAGTTTAGCGTTTCTTGGCACTTAGGGTTCCGGAAACAATAAAAGAGCGTAGAGGGTGACACCGATTTCCGGAAATACTGTATTAGATGCAGAACATGACTTGAGGATGAATGGTGCAAGAAGAAAATTGGACAAGCTGTAGTGGACTTCGAACCCTACAGCGGAACTGTGGTAGTATTCGAGTGTAGCTCTTTTGGATTCAGAGGACAATTTTCGGACGACTGTACAGAGACAGACTGTATAGTGACGGGGACGGGAGTTTCAGACAGCTCTGTACTAGAAGAGGAAAACGACTTGGTGGAGGAAAAAATGTCGGGACGGGCCGAGACGCGAACCCCTGAACCGCCCGACCGCGACGAACAGGAAAACTTACCACCGCGATTGGTGAGGCCGAAATGTACGATAAGACTATCGGCCCACTATACTCAAGAGCAAGAGATTGAGACTGAGTAGAGAAATACGCACTCTCAGTAGAAGAAAAAGAACCAGGGCAAGTCAATTACTTAAAATAAAGTAGTAACTTCGGACAATTTCTTGACAGAAAGTAAGGACTCAGACATCTCTAAATTTGTAAAAGAGATTGTCAAACTCAGAAGAGAAATTAGACAACAAGATAAATTATATAAAGAGAAACTCCAGAGAGTTAAAGAAGAATTTAGCACTGCTTTTACAGAGTTTTGATATAAGTTACTGGTGAATCAACCCCCGACACTACAAGTCCACTCCGAGTCATATACTTAGAGCAGCTACGAGGAGATTCTTTACGAAATCCAATTCTTATATATTATAGTTAATCTTTCGGGATCCCTGTCCTATATAGATATTATCTGTATTTTCTCTATCAGTTAACCGAGTAATATACGGATTTTTTTATTATAGAATACAATACTGACTATCTTCACCGATATACTATATTGTATAATAGATACCTCGAAGATAGTAGATACTGAAAGTAAGAGACTATTAGTAGATTTAATTAGAATAGCAGTAGAGACTAAGATCCGGATAATAGAAAACTATATAAATTAGCAGTACTGCACTGTTACAGTAGACCCAAAAAATACTAACCGGATCAGAATTACTTGCTAAAATAAGGCTAAATATCAGCTAATTAAGAAGATGGCGGAAACCAAGATTAGTACAGGAGTCCGAGTACTCTATAATAAATTTTATTTGATCAAAGTCGATAGCGTCAACAGAACAGCAGTGCTTGATAAAAATAGTAATATTTAAGTAGAAACTGCAGTAGTTTTTGGTAAAGAAAACAAAATTACTATTGCCAAAATTATATAGCTAAGTAGAAAAGAGAATATAAAGATTTATAGATCAATAGTTATTTATCTAACCAAAGATAGTAATACACGGAGACTTCTGGCCGACAGGTTCTTTTACGCTAGGGGAGAATCCGGTGTAATTAGTATTTTTGAATACTGACTATAATTGATACAATACTACAACTGTCAAGAGATTAGGTATAAGATATTCCAATATAAAAGTACTTAAAAGTATATAAGATATACTGTAGAGGGTTACTATTATAGTTACTATAATTAATCGGTTCCAAAGTATATTCTATACAGAGGCTCTTATAAATTATATAGTAAGAACTGTCGGAAGCTCTATCTATTATATAATAAATAAGACTTTTCGAGTTATTTAACTGAATATAAGAAAACAGGGTGCAGTGCACAAGAGTTTAATAAATAATAAAGAGACTCAGAATACAGTAGTATTAGTGATTTAGAAACCCCAAGTATAGAGAATTTAAGGCCGGTTTTTGATTACTCTAATAGGACACTATAAATAGACAAAGATAGTCCCCTCTACCTGAAGAGAAGGTAGATAGGTAGTATAAAGTATACTCTGGATTAACAAAGAAGTCGAGATAGAACAAGTACTGATAGAGTTCCCGGATCTTATAGCAGCGGTTATTAGACTTCCCGAGCGATTAATATTTATAGTATCAGTTTATATTGAAGAGGGTAATACCTCAGCTTTGGATAATATATATAACCAGCTACTTAGCGCGATTACGAAAGTTCGGCAAGATATAGATATAGTGGTAGAGATTTTAATTATAGAAAATTTTAACCGATATAACTAACTCTGGAGAGAAGACAATATATCTTTGGGAAGACAAGATAAAGCGGATCTAATTATTAATCTTATAAATAAATATACTCTTAGTAGTCTCCTTAGACAAGATACAAAGATATGGTATAGTAGAGAATATAGCAGAGACTATAAGTCGATTATTAATCTGGTTCTGGTCTCGGAAAATCTGATAGACTCTGTAATTAAGTATACTATATTAGGGATAGAGTATAGCTTAGACTACTGTACTATTAAGACTGTATTCAATACTCCCTAATCGATTTTAAAGTATCAGAGATAACTTCTACTAAAAAATACTCTATAGAAAGAGATCAATACCAGAATAGTAAATACTCTTGCTGCTACTCTGTCGAAGGGTATAGTACAGTAGAAAACTGACTGACTTATATTAGCAGTCTCGGAAGTGGTGTATATACTAATACCAAAGTTAAAACTATTATTATATACAAAACAGTGGTAGACTGCTGATTTGATATAGCTCTGTCAAATATATATATACTGGAGAAATTATACCCGGTCCGAGTAATAGGCGGGGTAAAAAGTGCCCTATCTAGAAGCAATAGCCTAAGGCACAGTAAAATAATACTATAATACTATTCGGCAACAAAAGAAAAAGTACTGAAATTAATTTCTTGCCGATAATAATAAAATATAGAAAGCCGCTAGATATCTAAAGTCGGGAGAAGATATAATATTTGAGAAGATTCCGCAGTTTCTCAGAGTAGACGGGACTACTACTACCGATTATAAGAAGCAGATAGAAGAATTACTAGCTAAATTCTTTCTATCTCTACCGGATAATATTAATAATAAAGAGACTCGACTATAAAAAGTACTAGTCGAGATATCTACTATTACAATAGAGAAGATTAAATAATAGTTAATAGTAGTAAAGTTTTGAAAGATACCGGGTAAAGACAGTATACTAGTAATAGTCTGGAAAATAACTTAGTCTACAGTTAAGTATAGAGTTCTGGATCTCTTCCAGGTATTACTAGAAGAAGATATATTACTAAGATAATAGAGATATACAAAGATTATATCACTTAAAAAGTCGAATAAAAAGAACTACACTATTACTAAAGTATAGAGACCGATTTCGCTGCTCGCAATACTGGGTAAGATACTAGAATCTGTAGTAGTAGAAAGAATCTTATATATAGTAAAGACTTATAGTTTACTCTCGACCAGTCACTTCAGTATCTAAAAGTAGTGGTCTGTAGAGCAAGTACTTATACTCCTACAGAAGTAAATCTATACAGTATAATACAGCCGATAGGTTGTGAGTTTGATTAGCTTCAATATTAAAAAAGCCTACAATAGAGTATACAAAGAATAGTTGCTTCAAAGAATAAAAGTGTAAGATATACCGGAGGATCTGCTCCAGTAGATAGAGGTGTTCTACTCGGAACAGACAGCGACTATCTAAATTAATAGGCAATTGTCTGAGGTCCATAGCCTGCCACAGACTGGACTGCTGCAGGGCTTACTACTATCCCCAATCCTATTTCTCTTCTTTAACGCAGACCTTGTACAGCGACAAATCGATAGTCAGGGAGATATGATTGTTTTCGTAGATAATTTTACTGTATAGATAACAGGGCCAACAGTACAGAGCAATCGGAAAGATATTAAGAGAATTATTAAAGAAGTACTCTACTGGGAAAGACAAAGTAGGGCAACTTTTAAGACAGAGAAAATAGTTATTATATACTTTACTTTCAAGGCTTCTAAACTGGACCGAGAGTCCTTTACTATCAAGAGACAAACTGTTAAATCTAAAGATTATATCAAGATTCTGGGTATCCTAATAGATATAAGTCTTAAATATAAGAAATATATTATAAGGGCAGTATCTAAGGGCCTTGAGATAGTGATAGAGCTTTGACAGCTGAGAGATCTCTCTCTATTAACAGTACAACAGCTATTTACATTGACAGTAATATCTGGATATATATATTTAAAAATAAGACTATAGGACCGATCAATCGAGTCCAAAGAGTAGAAGTGTAAGCGATTATCGGAATATTTCTTACCGTTGCTATCAGTGTAGCGGAGGCAGAGGCTCACATTACTACAGCGCAACACTGTTTTTGGAGACAGGCCGTGAAGATATG